GCCACCACATTGATTCTGCAGCAGCAACATCTGAGACACATGAGCAATCTGCCAGTCATCATAGCGGCTCATCGGTAATCAATTCTGAATCTGAGACTCATTCGGCCAGCCACCACACTGATTCTGCAGCAGCAACATCTGAGACACATGAGCAATCTGCCAGTCATCATAGCGGCTCATCGGTAATCAATTCTGAATCTGAGACTCATTCGGCCAGCCACCACACTGATTCTGCAGCAGCAACATCTGAGACACATGAGCAATCTGCCAGTCATCATAGCGGCTCATCGGTAATCAATTCTGAGTCTGAGAGCCATTCGGCCAGCCACCACACTGATTCTGCAGCAGCAACATCTGAGACACATGAGCAATCTGCCAGTCATCATAGCGGCTCATCGGTAATCAATTCTGAGTCTGAGAGCCATTCGGCCAGCCACCACATTGATTCTGCAGCAGCAACATCTGAGACACATGAGCAATCTGCCAGTCATCATAGCGGCTCATCGGTAATCAATTCTGAATCTGAGACTCATTCGGCCAGCCACCACACTGATTCTGCAGCAGCAACATCTGAGACACATGAGCAATCTGCCAGTCATCATAGCGGCTCATCGGTAATCAATTCTGAATCTGAGACTCATTCGGCCAGCCACCACATTGATTCTGCAGCAGCAACATCTGAGACACATGAGCAATCTGCCAGTCATCATAGCGGCTCATCGGTAATCAATTCTGAATCTGAGACTCATTCGGCCAGCCACCACACTGATTCTGCAGCAGCAACATCTGAGACACATGAGCAATCTGCCAGTCATCATAGCGGCTCATCGGTAATCAATTCTGAGTCTGAGAGCCATTCGGCCAGCCACCACACTGATTCTGCAGCAGCAACATCTGAGACACATGAGCAATCTGCCAGTCATCATAGCGGCTCATCGGTAATCAATTCTGAGTCTGAGAGCCATTCGGCCAGCCACCACACTGATTCTGCAGCAGCAACATCTGAGACACATGAGCAATCTGCCAGTCATCATAGCGGCTCATCGGTAATCAATTCTGAGTCTGAGAGCCATTCGGCCAGCCACCACATTGATTCTGCAGCAGCAACATCTGAGACACATGAGCAATCTGCCAGTCATCATAGCGGCTCATCGGTAATCAATTCTGAATCTGAGACTCATTCGGCCAGCCACCACATTGATTCTGCAGCAGCAACATCTGAGACACATGAGCAATCTGCCAGTCATCATAGCGGCTCATCGGTAATCAATTCTGAGTCTGAGAGCCATTCGGCCAGCCACCACACTGATTCTGCAGCAGCAACATCTGAGACACATGAGCAATCTGCCAGTCATCATAGCGGCTCATCGGTAATCAATTCTGAGTCTGAGAGCCATTCGGCCAGCCACCACACTGATTCTGCAGCAGCAACATCTGAGACACATGAGCAATCTGCCAGTCATCATAGCGGCTCATCGGTAATCAATTCTGAGTCTGAGAGCCATTCGGCCAGCCACCACATTGATTCTGCAGCAGCAACATCTGAGACACATGAGCAATCTGCCAGTCATCATAGCGGCTCATCGGTAATCAATTCTGAATCTGAGACTCATTCGGCCAGCCACCACATTGATTCTGCAGCAGCAACATCTGAGACACATGAGCAATCTGCCAGTCATCATAGCGGCTCATCGGTAATCAATTCTGAGTCTGAGACTCATTCGGCCAGCCACCACACTGATTCTGCAGCAGCAACATCTGAGACACATGAGCAATCTGCCAGTCATCATAGCGGCTCATCGGTAATCAATTCTGAGTCTGAGAGCCATTCGGCCAGCCACCACACTGATTCTGCAGCAGCAACATCTGAGACACATGAGCAATCTGCCAGTCATCATAGCGGCTCATCGGTAATCAATTCTGAGTCTGAGAGCCATTCGGCCAACCACAACACTGATTCGGCAGCAGCAACATCTGAGACACATGAGCAATCTGCCAGTCATCATAGCGGCTCATCGGTAATCAATTCTGAATCTGAGACTCATTCGGCCAGCCACCACATTGATTCTGCAGCAGCAACATCTGAGACACATGAGCAATCTGCCAGTCATCATAGCGGCTCATCGGTAATCAATTCTGAGTCTGAGAGCCATTCGGCCAGCCACCACACTGATTCTGCAGCAGCAACATCTGAGACACATGAGCAATCTGCCAGTCATCATAGCGGCTCATCGGTAATCAATTCTGAGTCTGAGAGCCATTCGGCCAGCCACCACATTGATTCTGCAGCAGCAACATCTGAGACACATGAGCAATCTGCCAGTCATCATAGCGGCTCATCGGTAATCAATTCTGAGTCTGAGAGCCATTCGGCCAGCCACCACACTGATTCTGCAGCAGCAACATCTGAGACACATGAGCAATCTGCCAGTCATCATAGCGGCTCATCGGTAATCAATTCTGAGTCTGAGAGCCATTCGGCCAGCCACCACACTGATTCTGCAGCAGCAACATCTGAGACACATGAGCAATCTGCCAGTCATCATAGCGGCTCATCGGTAATCAATTCTGAATCTGAGACTCATTCGGCCAGCCACCACATTGATTCTGCAGCAGCAACATCTGAGACACATGAGCAATCTGCCAATCATCATAGCGGATCATCGGTAATCAATTCTGAATCTGAGACTCATTCGGCCAGCCACCACACTGATTCTGCAGCAGCAACATCTGAGACACATGAGCAATCAGCCAGTCATCATAGCGGCTCATCTCTAATCAATTCTGAATCTGAGACTCATTCGGCCAGCCACCACATTGATTCTGCAGCAGCAACATCTGATACACATGAGCAATCTGCCAGTCATCATAGCGGCTCATCGGTAATCAATTCTGAGTCTGAGAGCCATTCGGCCAGCCACCACACTGATTCTGCAGCAGCAACATCTGAGACACATGAGCAATCTGCCAGTCATCATAGCGGCTCATCGGTAATCAATTCTGAGTCTGAGAGCCATTCGGCCAGCCACCACATTGATTCTGCAGCAGCAACATCTGAGACACATGAGCAATCTGCCAGTCATCATAGCGGCTCATCGGTAATCAATTCTGAATCTGAGACTCATTCGGCCAGCCACCACACTGATTCTGCAGCAGCAACATCTGAGACACATGAGCAATCTGCCAGTCATCATAGCGGCTCATCGGTAATCAATTCTGAATCTGAGACTCATTCGGCCAGCCACCACATTGATTCTGCAGCAGCAACATCTGAGACACATGAGCAATCTGCCAGTCATCATAGCGGCTCATCGGTAATCAATTCTGAGTCTGAGAGCCATTCGGCCAGCCACCACACTGATTCTGCAGCAGCAACATCTGAGACACATGAGCAATCTGCCAGTCATCATAGCGGCTCATCGGTAATCAATTCTGAGTCTGAGAGCCATTCGGCCAGCCACCACACTGATTCTGCAGCAGCAACATCTGAGACACACGAGCAATCTGCCAGTCATCATAGCGGCTCATCGGTAATCAATTCTGAGTCTGAGAGCCATTCGGCCAGCCACCACACTGATTCTGCAGCAGCAACATCTGAGACACATGAGCAATCTGCCAGTCATCATAGCGGCTCATCGGTAATCAATTCTGAGTCTGAGAGCCATTCGGCCAGCCACCACATTGATTCTGCAGCAGCAACATCTGAGACACATGAGCAATCTGCCAGTCATCATAGCGGCTCATCGGTAATCAATTCTGAATCTGAGACTCATTCGGCCAGCCACCACACTGATTCTGCAGCAGCAACATCTGAGACACATGAGCAATCTGCCAGTCATCATAGCGGCTCATCGGTAATCAATTCTGAATCTGAGACTCATTCGGCCAGCCACCACATTGATTCTGCAGCAGCAACATCTGAGACACATGAGCAATCTGCCAGTCATCATAGCGGCTCATCGGTAATCAATTCTGAATCTGAGACTCATTCGGCCAGCCACCACATTGATTCTGCAGCAGCAACATCTGAGACACATGAGCAATCTGCCAGTCATCATAGCGGCTCATCTCTAATCAATTCTGAATCTGAAACTCATTCGGCCAGCCACCACATTGATTCTGCAGCAGCAACATCTGAGACACATGAGCAATCTGCCAGTCATCATAGCGGCTCATCGGTAATCAATTCTGAATCTGAGACTCATTCGGCCAGCCATCACACTGATTCTGCAGCAGCAACTTCTGAGACACACGAGCAATCTGCCAGTCAGACCACCGACTCTACTATATCATCATCAGTTGCTCAAGAGAACAGTTTACACAATGAAGACTTCTCAGTATCTGTTAATGAAGGATTCCAAAGTCATATGAATAGTGCTGGACCTTGTAATCATCCAACAACTGGTGTTCATCTCGATATTAAGGGTAATAGCAAATCGGCAGATGATTTGTTGAATTGGCTATTGTCTCGTTTGACTAAGCCCGCCGATGCGTTAGGTCATAAAGAGGGCAGAAATATGAGAATTGAAGAAGAATCGAGAAAGCCCAGAAATGAAGATAATATTATTAATCAAGGTCATCCAGTATTTCCCTTTTTAGGACGGCAAGTGTAAATCCTACAATCAAACAATATCTTCTTCATTGTTTAATCTAAAATTTAATTTTTTGATTACCGAAGAACGTTATTATTATTTAAGGTTGTATGCTATTGATATTAATTGAATAAATAAATGACGTTATATTACAATTTTTTTTAAAAAATTCGCGACTTTTAGCCGTAATAGACATGTTTGGTGTTTGGTTTATAAACACATTTCTCATCTTTTCTAAACTGGAATTTGATGTCTGGCCAAGAATGCGTTATGTGGGTGAGTTTAATATTTCCGCGGATTATGTTTTAACTTGTATGCCTTTAATGCTACGAGATTACTTTTATAAACGTATAAAAGATATGCGCACATCTAAATACGTAAATAAACTGTGGCATTCAATTATTAGAATTGAAAGAAACAAACTGATATTATATTGGGCAAAGTAATAAACAAATAATTATTGAAATCTAAGAGTTCCGTTATTCTTCTAACAAACTGAATACCCCAACATAAACAACGTTAGATATATTCGGGTTCACTTGGCTTATAATTGAAGTACAAATTACGTTTAATAATACGTGGCTTCATAGTTTTCGGATAATAAATACACTGCAGGTTTGTCACTGTAATAAATAAATGTCCTACACACTAAATTCCATGCATATTCGGTTATAAAATGTTCCAGTCTTATGGTGAGGCGGATCCCATCTTCTGCTTATACTTCTTCAGAAACTCTTTTGCCAATTTATCTCCCTGTCTATATTCTAACGCTTTCACAGCCTCTGTATCTAAATATTAAAAAATAAATTATGCAAAGTATTCGAAATATATGCAATGAAATTGAGTACTCACTTAGTGATGTCGGTCGTACTAATTGCAACAGAACTTGTGGTAAATTTTCAAATGATTGCGACGTCTTGGGAATGTCTTTCAGACTCACAAACGCCTCGCCAATATATTGATTATTCAGTCCCATCATGTCATAATCTTTAACGCTGAATAGCACCAAAGCGTCTTCGACATTGTGATGCTCTGAAGAAAGTACGATATCAAATTTCTCATCAAACAAAGGGAATACCTCTTTGTAATGAATTTGAGTTTTCGGTCGATTCACACCGACAAACTTTTCTTCGGGTAGCATGTGAACTCTTACGAAAGAATCAGAGGCTCCGGTAGAGTTCATTTCGAAAAGATTGCGGCCATTCAAAATTTCTATGTGCAAGTCTGTATTTACCACTTTCATTCGAACACAGAGCTGACCATGTGGTGACTCCTCTAAAGCTTGTTGTTCTTTATATAAGTCTAAATTGATTTGATGAATTAAGGCACCGGTTTCAAGCGCATGTAATTTTAACAGCCTCTCGGTTTTTTGCAAGGCAGGACATGAATGTGTATCATCAGCACTTTTAAATGATTTGACCATAATTTTTAATGTTTCTTGTAGATTTGCAAAGAAAGAAGGTGGGCGCCGTTTCTAAAAGTATCATAATATTAGACATTATATTTCGATTGATATTAAATTCGTTAATTACTTCTAAACTTGTTTGAACAAGCTCAGCCAATATGGTACCCAACTTGTCCCAAATAATAAGCAATGTTTTATTAAAGTTTTCTTCGTTCAGTTCTTGATATAACGTCTCTAAATTACGATCGATGTATTTCATAACTCTATCAATACTATTACTATCTTGTTGATAAAGTTCTGCACCTTCAATAAGAAGCCTTTTCATCGAAGGCGTCATTTTATCCACCATCACCTCCAGCAATTCGATAATTTTATTCTTAATAGTGTCTAATGCGTTGTACATGACTAAATCCAAAGCCTCTCCACATCTTTGCGCAGCCGTGGAATTAAAGTCCGCAAGCTTTTTCAAAAGCTCCTCTTTCCCGAGATCGTTACTGAAAGGTTTCAGTTTTGTGCGAACATAATCGATATTGTTTATGGCTTGACACCACTCCTTGGTGACTTCAAACTTGCTCTCGTAAACATCTTTATAGTCGCCCATGCCCTCCACGCGCGCAGACATTTTATCAGCGTAGAACGAACTGCACCTACAAATATCCTGCAAATTGGTTTATTTTAATACATTCGCAATGCTGGTCTTTGAATATATTTAGACTCACGTCGATAATTTTAGCCATAAATATATAACTCCCTTCAACGTCGGGCCAGTTTAACTGCTGCCAGAATATTTTAATCTGATAGAAAATTTGCAGCGTGTCTATTGCAGAAGAACTGTATTTTACCGAACTGTCCACGGGGACGAATTGATCTAAATCAATAGCCTTTTCAATGCGAGTAAGAGCTTTAAATGCAGCAATTTCTAACCATTGACCGACACCCTCGTTGAACCAGATGTAGAAGTTTTTAATCGGCATGTCCTCCATGTCTTGGGGACACAGACCTTGTCCCAAGCTGTTTTATAAATATTAGCACGTGTTGGCATGAATGGAATATAAATTGGCGGTTTTATACGTAAAACTTTACTTACATCACAAAGCGTTCCAAAATTAGATACAGTTCAAACAGAGTAGTCCCCACCGCCAAAGGTTCAGTCGAATCACGCTCAGAAGGTTGAAAGCCGTTGTATGACAACTTCTTGATGGACTTGCTCGTTTGTTCAACATCGTCTTTGGCTAACACTGATATCTTCTCTTGATAGAATGTATACAAAATGTTGGCATATGGCAAATTGACAATGCTGTAAAATATTGGAGTAAATTATGTTGTTCAGAAATCGTAATTTTGTTTACCTCTGAAAATGTTTGTCATAGAACTCCACCGCTTTCTGAATATCACTCCTTATCAAGGTAATAATTTTTATCAAATATTGCAATTTTCCGACGTCTGTTTCATTTTCCCTTACATTATTTTCCAACAAATGATTATACCAGTCTTCAGCACCGTGTCGGACGGCTTCATGCATTACTGTTTCTGTGTCCCAATTGGAATTCAACTGTGTTTTAATCCAGGGGAAACTCTTTTCTGGGAATAATTGCAAGTCCCCGGGAGCTTCCAACATGCGCAACTTCATCAATATATTAAGTACGTCAATAAGTTTCTTCATTTCAACATTTTCGTTGTTGCTTTTTCGTCTAATTTTACGTATGATTGAGAAAATGGATGGAAGCAATTTCTTAGTAGAGTCCCAAAATATTTTTGCTTCCTCATCGCATATTGCATTGTTCTGTAGTGGTTTGATCAATTTATCCAAAAGGCACGAGAAGAGATTAAAACTAAGCGGGTGTGTTTGATGGACCATACTGTAAACAGCCCACTGGGTATGTGCAACATCGACAGACTGTAATCCACTTTGAACTATGTGTCTCGTCAGAAGCGCTTTAGCATAAGGACTAAAATTACCACACCACCAATAAGGATTTGTTTTTGAGTTCTCAAGTTCATACAACAACAGGATTTTTAGAAGATGTCGATGTTCCTGAGAAGCAACACGGCAATTCTTTTCAGAACTAAATGTGAGACGTACTTTGACGCAACCGCGTTTCTGTGTTCTGTTTTTCTTCTTTAGATCGTACCACATCAGCAAACCACACGATGGAATGCTCTGAAAAAAACATAATTAAACGATGATTCATGGTTTGTTTATTATGTCAGTATCAGGATGTTTACATTGAGTGGAATCGATGCTTTTCCAATTAGCTCGTTCTGATGTTGGCCTGTCGTCGCAGTTATGGCAATTTCTTTGAGAAGCTTCCTCACTCCCTTAGCTCCTTTAACACTGACGAATTTACCAAGTTTATCACGAACTGTTTCAGCTGGATCGAAATCCCAGACCTCCAGGCAGAGACAATCACTCATATTGATGTTTGAAACTGGCCTTGAAATTCAATTTAAACGTATTATTTTTGAAGCGTTAATTGAAAGCTGGTTTTGGTCCCTAGTCTGTTTATACTCACAATGCAAAGTGCTCTTCCCAAACGGGCGTCAGTGTTTTTTCCTTCACGGATGTGTTGTATCGATGCATTGCGTTTGAATTCAGAAATACCGTAACAAACGGATCACTTAAACCATTCGAGTCTTTTGCTGTTAAATCTTTGGCTTCTACGATTTCTACATTTAGGACTATTTCGGGTGCTTCCTTTTTGATAGCTTCATCAAGAAGTTCTCCATGGCGCCCATTATTCATTTTAAATGCATCTTGTAGATAACTGAAAAGATCACTCTGGTTGATCTCACATGTTTCGTCGCAGCCCACATTGTGCAGAATTTCATAAAGTAGTTCCAAATACAGTTCATCAATCTAGAATATCACCAAGGGTAGTTAATACACAATATCATTTAATAGTAAAGTTTAATACTACAGTCATGCTGTTGAGGATAATGTTGGTCTGCTCCTTCAACACTTCCTTCTTAATACCGCGGAAGGAGTTAAAGGGTAATGATTTTCGGCGGTTATTACATCCCGGCCGGTTAAGGGAGTAGCAAGACGCGCTTGCCGCGATCGTAAACATGGTTGCGCGTTGTATGCCCGAGTATTGAGCCCCGCGAAAGGTTGCACACGAAATACCAATCGATTCAAGCTCTACGCGCCACGCTCGACCACGTATCCGTGTGGATCGTTCGGTGAGCTTTTTTCAAACCCGCTCCATTAATGCGCTCGCTAGACACTGACCGCAGTGGTCTTAGCGAATCTGCCAAATCTATTCTGGGCCAGGTTGCGTGTAAACCACTCGTGCTGACCACGCTAAGCGGCGCCCGCGCAAAAAAAGCGCAAATAAAAAAGCTTCCTGCGGTTTACAACGAATGACAACGACCTGCAAAAACCACAGAAATCCCCGTGCTTCTAAAATATGTTTTGTATCTTATCGATTCCTTCCTGTTGGCTAAAATTAACAAAACTCGGATTATTTACAAAAATTATGTAAAAAACGCGTTTTTATTAAAATCGTGCACGTTATGAGTGACTTAGTGACTCAGTCTTCACGTATCCTAATTGGGTGAAGGTGATGTTTTCAAACATAACTTATTAATAAATGCCTAAAACGTGCTGCTCGCGTTAGCAACCGTAGTTGTGAAATTGGAATCGATCCAAACTTCGTGCTTGACGCGACATTCACATTCGACGTCCACTGTACCGACATGGGAAAAGATCAACCATTGTCAAGAATATCCAGAGAACGCTAGTTCTCGCCAGTCACACCGTGCGCTACTTAGTTATTTCACTTAGTGCTCATTTTAAACTTAATTTTGGAATACGATGACGTACAAAATCAATCGCCACGCATAATTACCAATGAAGTGAAATGGAACGCAATGTGTTTTGACGCAAGTGTTTCGCAAATAAACCACTCAGAACTAATACAGCACACAGATTTTATGTTTGGATTCAATTAGCGATTTAACGCAAAAACTTATGTAAACATTATGTGATTGGAATGTACTTACGTTCCAGGCAATGGCCAAATAATCGTTGGCCTTATCTTTATCTTCGGTTTCCGAGTCGGACGATGCAACTACTTCACTGTCGGTTGTTACGCTAACATTTTCTTCACTTCCTTCTTTCTCTTCAGTACCATCTTCTTCTTTTGCAATATTAATTTCTGGCTCGGGTAATGCTTGGTGCGGAAGGTCGGCCATAACATTACTGGCCGCCTCCGCAAGTTTCGTTTTCTCCAATTGTTCATTGACACTGACGCTGCGCGACAGGTCCTGAAGCCGGAAGCTGAATGTTTCAAAGAAGCCTCCATCAAGGGCTTGTAAACTAAAGCAATAAACACAATTAATTTGAGATTTTACTTGTGAAGATTATTGAATGGAAATACTAGTACATTTTCTTCAAATTGTGTGAGGTCTGCATGATGTTTTACGTGCAATTACTCGTTTGTGAAAACGAGCAAAACATAAAAAATTATTATGAGATTCCACGGAGTGCATTCATGATAAGAAAACAATATTGAATATTCTCATGATATATCTGTCACCGCGTGCAAATAGAAACAGATTAAATTAACATATGTAGATACTTCACTGTGAAATATATTGATATTGAGGAAAAAATTAAATCTGGTTAATCATATCTTTTTGTATGATAATTGAATCAATTACAAACAAAAATATCGATAAAAAGGATAAGAATATAATCACCGTAAATAAAAGACACAATATTTTGGTAGTACTTATTTATTAGTTGTACATTGATGTATTTTTTTTTATAATTATCACCTGTTTTGGAAGACTTGAGAATCTTATAATTTTATAATATTTGTTTCCATTAAATCTATCATGTATATGGAAGACATCTTAACCTCTTCTATGCTTCATTTAATAATGTCTTATTTGTAATATATAAAAATTATATTACTGTATTTATTTTTTCCCTCTTCAGTTCAAATTACCAACGCAAACATATTTATAGTATGTATATTCTTCAATCCCGTGATGGGATCCTTCGCGTCCCAGCCCAGATTCCTTGATTCCACCAAATGCTGCTTCAGCACAAGAAATTAGCCCTTCATTAACGCCAACCATACCAACTTCCATCTTCCTTGCAACTCGGAAAATCTGATTGACATCTTCAGAGAAAAAGTATCCAGCTAATCCACTGTTGGTTGAATTAGCAATTTTGATACCTTCTTCTTCAGTTTCGAATTTTAGGACGGTAGCAATAGGTCCAAACACTTCTTCGTTATATACCCGCATGTCAGAAGTCACGTTCACTAACATTGTGGGTTCGTAGAACAAATCTCCCAATTGCGGTGCGGGTTTGCCACCTACTACTGCTTTGGCGCCTTTGTCCAACGCGTCCTTGACGAGGGCACTGACTTTATCAAACTGAGCTTTGTTGATGAGGGGCCCAGCGGTGACTCCAGCCTCGTCACCACGTCCTTGTTTGAGTCCTTTAATTGCTTTGGATAATTCATCTACATAGGTGTCGTAGATTTTCGATTGGATAAGTAGACGGTTTGCTGATACACAAGTCTGACCACAGTTACGGAATTTGGAAGCCATAGTGCCGTTTACAGCCACAGCAAGATTAGCTGAGTCGAAAACCACCAATGGAGCATTTCCACCGAGCTCTAAACCAAGGCGTTTGATACCTTGCGCACATTGCTTGTAAAGAATTTTACCCACGGCGGTAGACCCAGTAAAAGAGACACCTGCAACATCATCACTTGTGCAGAGAAGATTTCCTACATCTGAAGCATTTTGACGATCGCAAGTGATCACATTGAAAACCCCTTGGGGAACACCTGCTTCCTCAGCTAACTTTGCTAATGCTAAAGCTGTTAGCGGTGTATCCTCTGCAGGTTTCACCACAACAGTACAACCAGCCGCTAGGGCAGCCCCAGCCTTTCTTGTAATCATAGCATGCGGAAAATTCCAGGGAGTGATCAAAGCAGCCACTCCAATTGGTTGCCTCTCAATCAAAATCTTCTTACTGGGCATCGGAGATTGTATAATCTCCCCATTAATCCGTCTCGCTTCCTCGGCATACAAGTCAATAAAACTATTTCCATATACCACTTCTCCTTTCGATTCAGTTATAGGCTTCCCACTCTCCGCGGTCATAATCTTTGCAAGTTCATCACCATTTTGTTCCATGAGATCAAACCACTTCCGCAGGATTTTTCCACGTTCCTTGGCAGTTGTGTTCTGCCAGCTGTCGAAGGCGGACTTAGCTGCACCGATAGCTTGCTGAACATCAGCGGTATTCATATCCGGGACAACGCCAATCACACAACCGTCAGCCGGATTTGTTACTTGGAATGTATTATTACTGGCCGCGGCAATCCAGCGGCCATTTACAAACGCCTTGTCTTGCAGGAGATGCATATTTCGAGAGGAGAACGCCTTGCACTTCCACACTGCGCGACACGTGAATACGTTTAACTTGTAAACACTCATGCTACACGCCGGTGTTTTATTACGGTCCGTCACCACACGAATACCACTCGTTTAGTAGTAATCTGATATAGTCCGCAGGAGATAACGGTACACACACAGTTTGGAACACAAACTGTTTGGCTTATGTTATCGGCTTATGATGCGAGACGAACATTACTAAACAAGACCATAATTTTTAATTAAAATCGTTTTATCGGTCGCACTGCTAACAGAACATAAGAATCAGTAGCAGGAATGTCATCTCGATTGCGCATCGCGCAGACGTAACAAATATTAATTTGGTGCGGTCTGCGTCGACGCGGAATCCCACTACCTTCAGCTGCTCCTCCTGCTACTAAATTTCAAGCTACTGACAAGCATTCCTGCTGACAATCGACCGGCAAACTTCTATACTGCCGACGCGCGGAAGGTTCAATGCCATGACCGTCGCAAACACGCACTTTACGTATAGAATTTTGTAAACTGATTCTAACAGGTTTGCATACAAAAATTTGCATTATAATAATATCAACACACGTTATGTGGGTACTTTAGCGATGAACATTTCAACTTGAAATAAATGATAATGACACAACTCAAGGCAACAAAACAGAACCGAATTGAAACTAACAAGAACTGTGGCAAAATTATATATCGTGTAAATATAAGAGCCAACGATTACGTACACGGGACCACTAATAACATGCGGTTTTAATTTAATATAAATGTTATTTAGAAGTAGCAATGCTCAACAGGAAACTGAATTGCGCAATTCTGCGTCCTTGGCATAAAACCAAGCACTGAGAAAGTATGTATTGTTCTTATAAATCAAAAGCGACACGCTTGAAAACTCATCACGACAACAAATATTTACTAAAGATTCGAGACTCCTGCATAGGAAAATTATTGTGTCATCAAAAAGTACACAGAATATTATCTTAATTTTTCCAAGATTTCATGATAAATCGTGAAGCATCATTATGCAGCTTTGGAGGCTGCAACCTGATTTGAATTTAAAATATCTAGATCATCTGGTCATGAGTTTGCTTACATGTTTTTATTTGCATCATTGCTCTGCTACAATTTGTATGTGAGTGTAAATCATTTCTAAATATAGATTCAAACAAATTGAAACTGAACGTTGTGAATCAACAAAGATGCATTGTTGATTTCTATAAATCTTTTGATTGAGTTAGTTCGACAATTGACCCGTTGTTTAATAAACTAATGATTAGGTCAATATGTTGATTGAATCATTTTAAAATTACCTTTTATCGTGCGCCGATTCCGGCTCAGCCTGATTGCTCTCCTGTCGTTTGTATTTCTCAAACATGCGTATCATGAAATCCTCACTTGATTCGTCCGACATTTTGTTCGCTTGTTTATAGCACTGTTTTGGTCTTTATCCCAGGTTTACGCGCGATCACAGACTAAACTTAAACAATTCTGGGCACAAAAATAAAACCCAACACATCAACTTTTCTAGGAGAAATGACTCAGAATACTGACTTTGCGGACAGTGCTGAGTTCACAGAGCACATTTACTATGCATTGATGAAGTATACGTTTGTGAATGTACGTATATTGTATTCACGCATTCAACCTCAACAACTCAACAGCAGGTAGTGAATCAAACAGGTAACTAAACACAAATTACGCACACAAACTTCGCCCGTTTGTCCAGTTGTTTTATTTAAATTGGAATGCTTATTGACTGCCAAACACCCACTGTTAATGATGTATAAATTGCAAAGGTTCTTATATGGGCCAGCAGTCAGTCGAGTGTGGGTCTGCCTGATAAGGCACTTATAAATATTAATTACAAATTATTATTGGTATAATTAGCAGTCAAATATGTCTCCCAAGTGAACAGTGGGATCAAATATAACTTTCTAGAACATTGATACAAACAGCGCGGTTTCTTTAATCAGCGGGGAATTTTATTGTATTTCCGCAGATCAACATGCCTCATAATTTGTCAGCGTTGCTAAATTATCATCCACGTGACCGGAGGAAATTATATGCATTTCACAGCGTTTCATCATTCAAGTTTCAAAACTATGTGCAACATCAATACGAATATTTTGTATTTTTTTTATAATTACTGACCTTACTCACTATAAAAACAATTAATACGAATAAAAACTGGTTATAGGCTAGACGAATCTAAGCAATGTCAAGTATATTTATAGCAAATAATTTCTTTAACATTGTTATGATTCTTACTTGGGTAATTATAATAAATACTAAAGAATAAAGTAATTCAGGGCGAACCGAATATTTTTGGAAATATTAATTTTTGTGGTCTTATAATTTAAACCTGCGTTTTCTAAACTTTGTTCACCGCGGCCCAGTACGAGATTTTAAATTTTTCGCGACCCACCTGATAAAAGACCTAGTGATTAACCAATGTAATTATATGAAGCAAACATTTTTTTGTGTTTTTGGGAAACGTTGTCTTTGAGTTATTGTGGTTGCAATAGTAAAAGTAGTAGTGCTTGTGTCAAAATCAATTCCTAATCTGCGAAAGAATGGTACTACTCCAAACAATTTTTCTTCCTGTTTGTCAGCAGTTTCAATATCTATGTTGCATCATTTATTATATATTAACGAATAATATTGAATAAATTATATATTTCTCATCATAATACATCCATTCAACTCTTATTTTACTCAATATTTATTGTTATTGAATGTAATTTGAAACTTACTTTGGACTTTGTGGTCCTTCCTCATGCGGTACACTTCTGACACTAAAGTTTTTCAAATAGTTAAAAGCACGTAAAGTCATCTTGTATGTAAGTCACTTTTAAAATACACTTTTAAACAAGTTGATTAATAAGAACACTTCATAAACACTTTAAATTAATTTCAAATCATAAACGTTATTTCCATTTGATGCTTCAATTATAATTACAGAACTATTCGAAGCAGTAGATGAAGCAGTAATGTGAGCGATAAAGCGGATCTGCCTGTTATACAACCAACCGCAATTTGTTGTGGATTTCTAATTCGCTCCGTACATGATATACACAAACAAGTAATTTGCGAGTTAGCGTTAATAAGCAGTCGCAAAGTCCTCTAGTTTCCCATGTTCCAACGCAACTTTTTTTATATTTATAAGAAAAACAAAAGGTAGCATTGTATTATTCACCGCCACTGCGTAGCTTCACTACACCATAACGAAACTTTATAAACTGACAACAACTTTATCGCAGCGAATTTATTAATAGCACGTGTTGGTAATATTGGGCAAAGAAAAACAGAGAACTGAATGTATTTGCGATTGGTGGCAAACATGAAGCTTCGAGCTTCAGGCAAAGAAATCAAAAAAACCTGGTAGTTTGACGTCACCATTCACTTTAAGTAATCAAAAACCCGAAATTGAGACCCAGATGGGGAATTACCGGTATTAAAAGCGTGTTTTTTGCTGTCGTAATAAATGAAAGAGTAAATAAGTGAATGGCAATGGTGGTGGACGTGATGCCGTCACGGGTGGAATCTGGATAATGGCTATGGATGGCTGAACAGAACGGAAAGTGTATCATGAGTGATCGTCACAGTTCTTGCACAAATGGAATTACAAAGTCGTGTCGTTGACTTTCAGGAATACTGAAATTACCATCGGAACGCAGGGCGATGAGTAACACTGGGGCCTCTTTTGCAATAAAGTTTTGTAGGCGTGATAAAACACCGAACAGGCATTACTTAACGCATAACTTTTGATCACCTAGCGTAAAATGTAAGTCTACTAAGTACTGAAGTAAGTGTTCTATACATGAGTAAGCAAATCAGTTAAAATAAAAAAGATTCGAAAAAAAAATCAGTTAAATTTGTCGACGAACACATTGATTTTTAAGTTGCTTATTATTTATTATTATCGCAACTAATATTTTCCTTGAATCAAGGTTCAAGGATTTCTTACATGAGAAAAATACTGGCTGTAGCATTAATGAATGGTATTACAGATTTTTGACAATACATAATTTATTTCCTTATATGAAGGCAAAAAGATTATGCAATATTTTATTAACACTCCATCGAAACTTTTTTCATAATTAAATAATTGTTCTTTACCGATTTCTGTTGTTAATTTATGCAAATTATATTGCACTTCTCAACAACTGATATTTCTCAATAATGAATTTACACAACGACGTAAATAATTACCAAACATAGATGTTAAATTAAAGATTGAATTTATTGCATGTCACAAGAATTGATTTGTTTCGGCCGTGACCAAATCACTGGTTACACAATAATGTACAGGAAGACTGGACAATGTGACAATACAAGCCCTGGTAAATCTAAACAAAGAATCATGGGCGCGCCGCTATTTGCCACTTTGGATTACCAGCCAGCTTCTGATTGAGTTCGAAAGTAGAGTTCATGAACAATGCGACAATTTGAGCGCGACAGGTGCAAACAAATCAACGACATACGCACTACCTGCCATTCATACGTGTACACGAAGGTGACCCGGGTAATGTAGTATCACACGTGGTACATTTAAATCCGCAAGATTTAAAAACTTTCGAACAATAGCAACAAGCAACAAGCGTGATTCCGTTATGATACTGTTATGATGGAACGTGCCCATCAAAACAATGAAAGTAGATTTTTCCTTTTCAATCCGCATCCCAATTTTAGACTACTCGCAATAATAAACTCACCGTGATTCTTCCAATGGATGAATTTTTCTATATTTCCATCTTAAAATCCAAGGCACTGGCGAATCGTTGCACGGCTTGATGAAGGGATTTTTCATTTCACATTGAATCGCACCACGCCTGGAAGAAAATAAACGGCTTAAAATACGAAGCAGTTTTCAACATTTTGCGCTCAATTCACGAAAATAACTCAACAAGTAAATATCAAAGCAAAAAAAGCATAATCCTTAACAATTATTTACTTAGTACAAATATTGTGTACCAAATACTGAATCCGTCTTACGTAAATAAGATTTACGTACAAAAAACGTAAATTGTTTCTATAAAAGTTTCCAAAGCTAAACAAACCTGTGTATTAAGCGTGCACGATCGTAATCCTCATTATTCTGCTGCTTTTTTGACTTTCTCAAACTTCTTTTCTTCACAGTAATCCTCGGAAAACATTTCTTTTGTCGTCGTGATTTGGACCGCTCAATTTTCAAAGAGGGCCGTTTAGGTTTCACCATCGCGTTTGACCGCTTAAAATTGCACTTTTCGTAACTTTTATCGTCCGCATCGTTAGCGTTTCTCGCGTCTTTAACACGCATTATTTGCAGACTACGAAGCACTACGTCAATGAACATGTTTCGCATGTTATTCGTCTTTTCCGCGGATTAATCATCTATCACGATCGAATCGATTGTCAATTGTTTCAACCGGGTTTGCATTCAATTCTTTCAAATATTTCGATTGTTAACCGCATGAAAACTTACTTAAAAACAACTTTGTAGCAACTTTACAGCCGTTCTAGTAAGTACGTTGGCTTATTGACTCGTTTATTACCCACACGCGGTAATAACTCATCAAAATGCGAGTGATTTGAATTTCTTATCAGAGGCAAACAGAACGAGTGTGAGCACTACCGGGTAGTGAACGTGCAAGTGTTTTGTTGTTGTTGCGGCGCAAAGAACTGATTCACCGATTCACTTTGACCCACAATATCCATCGGTGTTTCGGCATCGCAGGCGCACAGGTTGCTGAAGCGCGACACGGCGCACCGCGGCGTTTGGTAGGGATTTCCTGCCTTTACGATTGTGATTTTTCTCTATTATTTGCTGCATAGGACAAAGAACCTCCGCTTACATTATAATTATAGAACCATTGGCGCAATAAAAGATCAGCCTTTAAAGAAAATACAAAACAATGTTATTAAATCAGGCGATAATCAGTACAACAATTGCAATAAAACAAAATGATAAACTTCTCACTTTATCATGCTATATCAACGCCTATCATACGACCTCCTATTATAGTTATCACACGATACCCTTCTCTTTTTCATTTCTCTATCTCGCGATTCTTGATGATCATTTCTATAATGTTTACGTCGATCGTCATGGTAATGTTTCCTTTCGTATTTATCTTTATTGTAATAATCTTTATGATATTTATCTTTGTCGCGTCTGTCAGGCTCCCGATCGTAACTATTCCGACTCCTACTTTTTCGATCATTCCTATAGTCCCCACGACTGGGCTCTCTTGAATTTCTGGAAAAATAGACGGGTGATTCTCTTCCCTCTTCATATCTGCGTTTTTCGCGGTACGTATCTCTTCGGTGTTCATGGCTTCTATCTCTTTCTCTGTCTCTATAGTCGGAAGATCTTCTTCTGGATCTACATCTCAATTTGTGATGTGAGCTTGATCTAGAGTGGGACGAATATCTACTACCGACTGATCGTAATTCATCATGCGAGCCATTTCTGTTGTTTAACTTCTCTTCTGAATCTTGCTTTGAAATTTTAGGACTTCGACTGCGGCTTTTACTTCGCTGCCTAGAAGGAGAACGACTTTCTGGATCATGCAATTGCTTTACGGAATTTACGGCCTTTAAAAGTTCCATTTGATTAGAGATAACTTCACGGATTTCTTCATTGTAATTTTTGTGATTAGTGTGAACTGATTTGTACTTTATTCGGCGACGTTTCATGTTTCGTTCATGCTCCAGTCGCTCTTCGTATGAAAGTTCTTTGTCATCCATACTCTGCTGACTTCTATTCAGATAAAAACATATCACTTAGCTTAAACATTCCTAAATGTAACCAATTATAACTCACAGATTAAATTCAGGTGGAATTTCAGGTCCCTCAGTCTTAGATATGGCATACCTATAAAGAGCAAGCCTTTCATCAGTGGAGAAAGTGCTCAAAAGTCTATCGGCAGTCTTGGGGTCTGGGTCTTTACCGTTCCAACCTGTTTACGCAAATTTAACAAAAATTAATCATTCCATAAGCTCTTATGCTGACAAAAAGGATATCAAAAAAGGATATAGCTTTCTGATTTATATAGCTACATACTAGATGCAGACATATTTGCATTTCAAAAACGTTTTTGCAACTAAATGATTCTGAAATAAATCATATTTCTACATTTAATATGATTGAGCTATAGCAAATTTGAGAAATAGAACCTACCACTTTTAAAATCCTTGAATTTTTGTCTTCCCTTTTCAAAAAGATGCTCCTTTGTGGCATTATCTATAAATAATGATAATTAACATTTAATTTATCAATTAAAGTCTATGTATTAAATTCTAAGTGTTGCATTACCAATAGTAATTGAAGATGAGCTTGGTTTGTTAACTGGTTCAGAGAGCTGAACATCATCAATGTTATAACCAAGCTTCCTCATCAAACAATTTTTAAGGTGTTCTTGGATATTTTTTGGGCTTACACGATGTGTTTTATCAAAAGAACAAATCACCAAATTATCATCCTATAGGAACACATTTAGGACATTATTCAAATGATAGTATATAAAAATAGGTGTTAATTTATACCTTTCGAACTTCATTCTCAGTCCATCCAATTGCATCAAGAATAGAATTCAAGTTGTGTTTGGCAGAATCAATAAACTGCTGGAAATTTTGTAGTTGATTTTGTCTTATGCATATGTTATAATCCATGATTACTGTCTAGTAAATATTCACACAATTTCTTCTAACGTCTTCACTGCATCACACATGCGAACTAAAACGGAGATATCTGGTTGCCAATGCACAAATTAAAGAGGAGGTTAGCAAAAGATAAAATAAAATATCAAATTAAAACGGACTATAGCATCGATAAAAAATAAATTTTAGATGAATTATTTAAATAAATAAATGCTTTACCTTAGATTGAATTGTTCTATGCACCAATAATATGTTGGGGAATTTCAAATATTCCTACTTCATCACATAATCGTAGATCGTAGTTGATCTCCCTACCTCGACCCTTCAGTCAGTTCGGTCAAACGAACAAATTGTTAATAAACAATTAACTTTTAGTTGCAAATTGTATAGTTTAATAAAACATGTATTTACCAATCAAATTTATTAAGAACAATAGTATTAAACCGGTGTGTAATGCATTGATCAATCAAGTAACAAGACATCTGAGTACAACAAATCACAATCAACAGATTAGAAATGATGAAGCAGTGTCACTAATCTTTGATAGGAAAACCAAAACGTTACAGCGTGAAAGAGCAGCCTTGGCGAAGGATGTGAATTTATATGATTATCTCAAAGAAGAGATGGGATATCGACTTGCTGACCGAATCTATGACATTAAAAGGAAGTTTAAGTTGGCTGCCAACATTGGCTGTAGCCGAGGATATGTGGCCAAACACATATCACCAGAATCTGTTGAGGAAATCATACTTTGTGATACTAGCCATGCCAATTTAGATAGCTTTAAGATGCAAGAAGGTATTAAAGTGAACAAGAGAATATTAGATGAAGAAAATATTGAGGTATTTTACTAGGCTTTTTGTATACATTTGTGTTATCTAACTTTCTGCTATTTTAAAATAGTTTGAACGTAGTTCATTAGACCTGGTAGTCTCCAGTCTGAATTTACATTGGGTAAATGATCTACCAAGGGTATTTAAGAGTATTCTTGATGGACTAAAACAAGATGGTGTTCTGATGGCATCAGTTTTTGGTGGAGATACTTTGTATGAGCTAAGATCATCCTTGCAATTGGCTGAACTTGAAAGAAAAGGAGGTTTGTCACCTCATATTTCACCTTTTACAGAAGTCAGAGATATTGGGAGTCTTCTACAAAGAGCAGGCTTCACAATGTTAACAATTGACACAGATGAATTAGTTGTTAACTATCCATCAATGTTTGAACTTATGTGGGACCTAAAGGGGATGGCAGAAAGTAATGCTGCATTAAATAGATCATTGCATTTGAACAGAGATACACAATTTGCAGCAGCAGCAATTTATGAACAACTTTATGGTAAAGTTGATCCAGAAAGTGGGAAGTTAAGTATCCCAGCTACTTTCCAGGTAATAATAATAATCTAAACTTATTTCTGAATGATAATATTTATACAATTCAATTTAGATAATAAATATGCTGGGTTGGAAGCCTCATCCAAAGCAACCTCAACCACTTGAGAGAGGTACTGGTGAAGTGTCTCTAAAGGACTTGTACAAATTAGATGAAATTATAAAAGAAGTGAAAAAGATTGATCCAGAAAAGTCATGATTTTGCAGAATGAGAGTTTAATGAGATGTTGAAGTTTAATTATATAATAAATGTATTTTAATAAAATGATTTTTTGGTCTGTTAACTAGAACTTGCAAAAAATAAGTTTTATTTAACACATAATGGTTTCTCTCACTAAAATCTCTATGATATCAACAATAATTGCATCTGAATAACAATTAAAACATTGTTTAGATCCTAATGTGGCTTTGGAGTATGTCCATCAACATAAAAGTTCCTTGTTGCCATGGGCAATTGCACTTCCAAGCCTTCCAATTCTTTCCTCAATATAATTTGACAACCTAATCTTGAGTTTTCTTTCAAATATGGAGCCATGTCTAAGAGATCATCTTCTTTTTCTTCTGGAGGAGATAGTTTATCTGTGAAATCATTGTGAACATAAACATGGCATGTGGTGCAAGCTAAAGAAGCTTCACAGGCACCTTCCATTGGTATTTGGTACCTGTGTGCAAGATATAAAACATTATCTCCTATTTTGCCTTTGACAGGAATTCTCTCTCCGGTTTTGAGAAGAAATGTTATATTTACACTAAAATTATAAGCTATTGTCATTACGATTTGGTTGCCTTAACATTATTGTTTCACTCACATTTCATTTTCTGATTTTGGGTCTTGCCATTCGTAATCACCATGTTTCAAACCTAGAAAACAAGTGGATGTGCTTGATAATAAGTCATGATAATAAAATAAACTTTGTCTTACATGCTGTAGTATTGAAATTTCTAGATGAGATTGTTTGGTGTAGCTGCGAAAATCTTCTTGTAACTAATTTTAAAGCCATGTTTATTCGAATATGTATATAAAATTACTGCCTACGAGGTTAATCTGTAAGTTCAGTTGCATACAGTCGTACCACGTTTTCAATATTTAATACAAAAAAATTATTCAACATAACATTACTCAGATCTATTACTTTCTTTGGTGAATACGTAATCCATGTTATTTTTTATAAATATAAAAATATTTATTGATTAAAATTACAACGTGATTTTTTGGATTTACAGGTTTTTTTGTTGAGTTTAACATGTTTCGCCCAGAGGGCATCTTCATAAACTGACTTTAGTAGGTTTGTTAGGGGTGTTTTGTGTGTCAAGTGTTTGTGTTATTGTGTGTTATCGTGCTTGTGGGAATGTGTAGTTTGTTAAGTGGTTTAAAAATTGTGTCGTGTATTGAGTGTGTCTGTTCGTTTAGTAATTGGTGTTTGATTTTGTGTTTGTATATCTGTATGTGTTCTTTAATGTTTAAAAATTTATCTGTGGATGATTTTAATATTGTGAGTGTATTGTCTATTGTGTTGTGTTGGTGATTGTGTTGTAAGATGTGTTTTGCATAGTGTGAGTGGTATGTTTGTGGATTTTTTATTGCGTTTGTGTGTTCTTGGTATCTGATTTTCATGTTTCTGTTAGTTTTCCCTATATATTATTGCCTTAAATGCCTTCTTTAGATTCAGTTTCAACAGATTAATAAACACACCACTAGACGAAATTAAATACAACATTGAATACAATAAAATAATTAAAATAGCAATAGAAAACGGATACACACAAACGCACGTAAACAAAATATACAATAAAATCATAAAACAAAATCACAACAAATCCACAACAAAACACAACACAAACACAACCATAGACAACACAAACACAACCACCAAATTCCATACATTCCACTACATAGACAAAGATACATATAACATCACAAAATTATTCAAAAACCATAGAATTGCCTATAAAACAATTCAAAAACTATTCAACAAACTACAAACGCACACAACACTAAACACAAACAAATACAATAACAGCGGCATCTATAAAATCACTTGTAACACATGCAATAGAATATATATAGGGAAAACTAACAGAAACATGAAAATCAGATACCAAGAACACACAAACGCAATAAAAAATCCACAAACATACCACTCACACTATGCAAAACACATCTTACAACACAATCACCAACACAACACAATAGACAATACACTCACAATATTAAAATCATCCACAGATAAATTTTTAAACATTAAAGAACACATACAGATATACAAACACAAAATCAAACACCAATTACTAAACGAACAGACACACTCAATACACGACACAATTTTTAAACCACTTAACAAACTACACATTCCCACAAGCACGATAACACACAATAACACAAACACTTGACACACAAAACACCCCTAACAAACCTACTAAAGTCAGTTTATGAAGATGCCCTCTGGGCGAAACATGTTAAACTCAACAAAAAAACCTGTAAATCCAAAAAAATCACGTAATTTTAATCAATAAATATTTTTATATTTATAAAAAATTACTCAGATCTTCATATCATTCGATGAAAGTTTCCGTTTCCTGAAACTATGGTTATTCAAAATTATCTCTTCCTTTTTCATATGTATGTTATGATACATATTGTGTCTCTAACACGATATGTTTACACGAAAATATTAAAAAAAAAGCAATTAACCTTTGACAAAGGTTTAAATTATTGAATCGGGATTTAATACATAAATCAATCAGATCAATTCATTTCCAAAAATTTGGAGGCGCCGGGTATCGATCCCGGTACCTCTCGCATGCTAAGCGAGCGCTCTACCATCTGAGCTACGCCCCCTGTTGAACAACCATACTTAAAGGATTTTGAACTTCAAAAACAACAATTTATAAAATTATTTTAACAAAGTCCTCTACTTTGTTGTATTACATTTCAAATAATTATTAAAATAATGCCAACTTTGTTTTGGCATTTTAGCAGTTTTAATCAAACCAAATTACCCCACATATAGTTGAACACATTATTTAATTAACAAAGTTTTCATTCGGTTGCATTAGCACAACAGTGTATTTTATATTATTATATGAACACATTTGCTTTATCCAATGATGAAACAGAATGATATTAATTGAATGCTTAGATTCATTCCATAATATCATTGATGTTCATTTGTAAACCTCTATCTGGAGTATTATCTCATCCTATATTCATGAATTCGGTGTTGATGCTTATATCAATAAGTGTCGTTCCAGCGCATTAAACACATTACTCAATTTCACTTTGAATAAACAATAATCTATTTTGCCCGCTGCTTGAACTGAATTCCATGCTTGGAAGAACATATTATCATTAATTCCTTCGTGTTTATTCGGATCACAATCGAAGTATGATGTATTTACCATCTTTGCTCCAATATATCTAAAATAATTGCATGATTTGCATTTCTCGATAATAATTACACCAGTTTGATCATGTAAGGAATAATTTTCGGTTAGCATGCGTTAGAATCACTTGTAAGGAAAAGCAAACAAACGCGGCAAACGTAAACAAACGTAACATAATTAATGGAAAATTTCTCGAAGCTCGCACGAGGCGTGCAAAAAAGCCCGAAGCTTATTTGCGACGCCCCGAAACTCGGCGAGCAGTCCCAAGAGTAGTCTCTATACCCGAATTTGGGAGAAACGGAATTCGTTTCGGGGGTGGCGCCGGGACGCTCTCTATCGACCGGCATCCTTCGTCGTCGACGGAGACGCCGGGGACTTATCGCCGGTCTGCTCCCACCAACACCCAGACCAAGACTCAACTTCCAAAGCTTCCAACTTCCAGAGATCTCTAGAAATACTGCTTTCCCAAACTCGACGCCTTGCCGGCAAGCCAACACACTCAAACATATTCCTATATCTATATATTCAATGAAACTCGCGGTGGTCGCAGTCAGACACTAACTCTGATGCATTTCAAGAAGAAGGAATCGTTTCAGCGTTAGATAGCGTTAGATAGATGGTCTCGCTTGTGGTTTGAGAGGTTTGACGATACCGCCAGACAAATCCATCTATGCAGGAGCAATAAATCATTTGGCCCGGGCTTGTCCTTGCCTTAGATTGATACGTTTCTTTTTTGACGTTGCTACAAACATTCGGAATTGCTTATTTGCTTTTCTTAAAATGTTTAGTAAGAGATGATTGGATGTTCTTCGAGTCGGAGGTTTTGCGGAATAAGACAATTAGAAGACAATTAGCCTAGAGCAAATTTGATTTGTCTTCCAAAGTTTGATGCGCGAATTAATTCGACAATTAAAACTTAAATCCTTGCTGAAACTAACTAAGCAAACATTTCTATTCTAACAAGTTATCACCAGGACTTATAGGAGATACTGGACATCCTCTGAGAACATGTCAATTATTCATAAACTAATTATCATTAAGTAATATCCATTATATCTACCAGTTTATTTATTTAGGGATTTCGTGTATAGGATTTTTTGTTGAGATAACAAAACTCTCTCAGAACTCCGAAGTCATTCGAGCGTTTCTCATTTGAACATTTGCAAGCAAAGTATCGAGTCCTTGAATGACATATTCAGCACAATATTCCGATGTTTCGACATTTTCGACTTACTAACGATACTCGTAGTTCGACCCAGAGAGAAACATTTAGAGAAGAGTGACCGAGAGTTAATGAGCTGGAAAAATGCTTTTAAGGTCGGAAAATCACATAAATTCTCTTTTTTCACTAAAAAATTCTATGCAGTAAATTAATGATAAAAATTAATGTAATAATTGGATTTAATATGTTTTTTAAATGAATTGGCACACAAAATAAATATTTTTTTCTTTCAAGATTTGAATTGTGTAGAAGTAACTGAGTTTCCAGCACCAGCAAATAATTTCCGGTGCATTTAGAAGCAACAAACATTGTACGTGTTCTGGACTCGACCCGAGAAGATCGTCAGGATCTAAGTTTAGTTGCGGTTAAGTCACGCTCGCATCCCTCACAACTTGTCCAAAGTTCCTGCGTTGCTGGAAACTGAACTTTTCTTCTTTTCCACCCATCACGTACCATAGAACTAGAAATTAAACGTTGAACGATTTACGATGTCTGCAGATTTATTTCTGTCTCAAACATTTGAAATAAATTTATGTCACATCCACGTGAATATTTTAAATTTGTTTAGGTCGTTCAAAATTAGATTCGAGCCCCATCCTGCTACCTGTAGAATAAATTACCTAACCCTAGTTGTCCTATGGCCTTGAGCATTAAGCATATCATATGCCTGTTCCGCTCTTTGCGAATGTCGGTCGCTTGTAGCAAAACACGTATGGCGAGAGTTCGCGGGCGAAAACGCAGGGCTAATTAATCTCAACGTAATTACGCCGTTTCATCCGATTACTGCGGACGAGGATGGTGCAGATCTTGATGCGAATGCGGTGAGCATCAAACTGAAAGGACACTTGAAATTTTATGTTTACACTGTTGTAATTCCACCCATAATCTTATTTATTGGAGATGACAGAATAGAATGGTGAACGCAACAATTTTCCACTTTACAATAAAATGCTTTATAGAAATCAGAAATGGTACTAATGCACTTATAGTGCTAAATTTAAACATTCAATTTCGGTTGAAATAATATAGCTACAACTGCGATTGAATTTCCATATCAATTTTCGTCACTAATTTTACAATTTTTAAGTTTTATTTTTTGCAACAAAAAGTAGGCTATATCATATTATGATGTATTACCTATATCCTTGAAAAGTTTTATCAAAATTGGCTCAATAATTTTTGCGGGAAAAAAGAACAAACAAACAAATACATTCACATTTGTAACTATAATATTAGTTAAAATTAAATGAAAGAAAATGCATTTGTTATGACTTTCCTTTCCTAAACCTGAGCTACAGAGCTACTTGTTTGTTTTGTTGTGTCTCGTGTGATCAATTAATCAAGCGTCAAACTTAATGCCCCAATACATATTATCCGACATTATGTTGTAACACTAAACGGTTGGGTCTACCGCCACCCACCGCGTATGTCCAAATTGCCAGGCGAGATTTTGTCGGCGCTCTCAATTAAGAGTGGAAATTTTGGCAAAACAAAAACAAGCGAAGGATATCGCAGGCGACAGACACGATTTCATTACATAGTTTAACACTGAGTCATCGTCATTTATCACAGATGCTCCATGCGTTTCTTTTGGCACGTAGTGACTTCGAAAAAAGTCAAAAATATAAAAATCATTCAGCGTTTCAAATAACATTTTGGTACCTAAGAGATAATTTTAGTTTTGAGATTTTTTAAATTTTCTATTTTATCGTACACAGTTTCATGGGTTGCTTGTTGTTCTATTTCCAATTTTTCGCTCCTCGCTGGCGTAGAAACAACGAAACAAACGCCAAAACGCCAAATGACATAAACATTTTCTGTACTCTGGGCATGTATATCATTGAACGCGTGCCTCGCGGCTCAGAGTCGGCGACGTTGGAAAATCTAAATTTACAACCGCGTTTTCGTATTATGCCGGTTGTGCTCGCAGTGCAGGCTGTGGGAAGCTTACACAATTGCCAAAACAGCAGTTCAGACCATTGGAACAAGTCGAGAGCACCCGGAGAACCGAGAGAGCGCCGAACTGGGATGATGTTTTCCAACTGCGAACAACGAACGCGATGGCAGGCGCAGAGAAAAAGTTATCGAATGAATATCATCCGCATGCTTATTGGGACAACTCCAAACAGGAACAAATAACGAATAACAAAACTAGAAATGTGAATTCTAAAAATACAAATGTCGAGAGGTAGAAACAAAGCAGGTCACGGGATATAACAGTCAATATTGACGTGGATATTGGGTATATCAACTTTGAAATCATTTTGGCAAAAAATTCTTTCTTTTTTCGGTTAAAAAAATGTATAACATAACAGCTAACTTTCTACGCTCTCATACTTTTATACGCCAATTTATCACAACTATTTATGAAATTTTATAGTATCTATTGTTAGCTTTCGTAAATAAAGGTCAAATTTGATGTGTTTTCACGCGTTTGTGTCAAAATTGCTCAATTTCGTGTCTAAAATAACAAATTATGCGAAGCCTATTACATTTTCCGAAGAAACAAAAATACACGCGGCTTACGCGCGTTCTCACACGCATGTTATGCTTTCCTCGCTCGTTGATGTGTGTCGCAAGGTGGGAGATTTTGAGATTTGACGATAGCAAAGCTCGGAGCAAAGGCGTCGCTCAGTCGACGATTAAAAATATTCGCGGCGTCGCGACTCGTGCGCGCGAGGCTGTCTCGGAGTATCGAAAAACAAGACAGTTCAAAACAACGATTGGACAATTAAAACCAATACGTAACAATCAAGTATAAGTTGAAAACTTTCTTTAAGTGTCGTCGCAGAGTTTTTACTGGAAATATAAACGTAATAAAAAGAAATTGGAGTCAATTGAAGGAAAAGCACAACCTGAAGGAGTAAACAATGTGATCAATCAAAATTAGTACTTGAAGTTATAGTGAAGATATAGTATTGTTAAGTATATTTTGCAAGTCTTAAGTAGTCATGTGTGTAGGTTTTCATCTGAATTCTTTTTAAATGCAATTTAGTTTATTTAAATTCACTCTTATATTACTTTCCGGAGAGGACAGGAGCTGTCTTTAAACCATATTGAAGCATCGACGACTTTCAAATGGGCTTTAATTTGCTTTCCGTTGCGCTCAAAACTTCACCAAAGTTCAAAACTTATCCATCACGAGGTTACTGTTAAAATCAACTTAAATGTTTTAAAACTTCTTAAATAAAAGATCTTCTACCTAAGTAAAACATTTTTTCGCCGTCAAACGATGAAAGTTTGAATAATGAAAGAGAATTTAAAAACAAAATTAATTAGTTTTAAATCAGGCACAAATTGACAATTAATTTGTACTATTTTTAAAGTCTGGCATGGTGTGAATTTGATCTACCGGAGTAAAACTGACAGAAACCCAGTGAAAATGGCAAATTTTGCAAATTGACCGAGTTAATTAGTCGTTCACGGGCGCGGTTGTAGACCTTGGATGTCTAACCGTTACGAAACAGACGCGCTGCGCGGTTTTCCGTGGAAAATCTCGGCGACGGAGATGAAAACTGGAAGCCGGAAAAAGTTGGCGCGCCGCCAATCTCCTTACGTCGCACGAGAAAAATGATCGCAATGCGCGCCCGTCGACAAAAAAACTGCAGCGCACACGCCCGAGCGAACAGCGAAAAGGACGGCGACAAAAGAATTATAACTGAAAAATCTTTTTCGGCTGGTTGAGAGCAAACGTTCGCTGGTAGCGTTTTTCGTTTTCGTTTCGCGCTTTGCGGCGCTCAGCTTTGCGTTTTATCTATGAATTATGCTTCACAGCCGGTCGACTTTCGAGGTTTCGCGAATTGTGAACTTTTGCAGGGATTAAAAAGAAGTTTTTGGCAAGGATAAACAAAACTAATTCCAAAAACGATATCTGATCATTTCAACAACATTTTTTCTGTAAATATTCACATTGTTTACAACTTCTAAGAATGGTTAAAATAAATATTTAAGATTTTTGTTCTTTTTCTTTTTTTAAAGTTTCTTCAAAATGGAAACCGAAGGATATCTGTGTGCTGAAGATTATCTCAAAGAAGTAATTAAACTTCAACTAAAAAAGCCCAAAAATTGGAATTGGGAACTTTCTACATCGAAATCATCCCCACATTTAGCTCTTCCGATAATACAACTATTTGACTCCAAAGGCAAGCTTTTGGTCGAAGCGAAAGACGCTGGGGTTACTACCGAGCGCCGATCTTGGCACAGTTCCTCCATCGTTCCGCAAGTAAATCAGCATAGAATCCAGAGATCTCGTAGTGATATTTTAAAAGAGTCCATTGACTTTGCCAATAATCACAACCAAAGCAACACTTTGCCAAAAATCCAAAAACAAAAACTCGTAAGAAAAAGATCATCAACTCGTACATTGGATAATATTAATGAATATGACAACGAAATTAATTTTGTGAATCAAATTAACAAGGAGAAAACAGTTAAAAAGAAATACAGCAGATCAAGGAGTGATGGACAGTTTAATAAAAGAAGACAACTTGATGAAGTCACTTCTGAGATTAATCCTATAATAGGGTTGGTTGACGAAGATGAGTATGAATATCAACCGCCGAAATATGAGATGCGGACATCAAATGCCGGCACACTGCTTGTAAAACGTTATTCTTTTACTCCCTCAACGCGAAGAAGATCCCTAAGAGAAAATTCACTTGGCAGGACTTCTTCAGCATCCAGTATACCGAGTATAACAAGTTTACGCAGTACTACCAGTGATCAAACCATTAAATCCATATTTAAATCGGTATCAAGCGGTGGAGTTTATAAAACTGTCGGTAGTGATACTAGAGGTGTTGTCCTTGGTGATGGTGGTGGAAGCATCGCACGAGAGTTCAAGGATGAGCGCGGACGTAAACGACGCGAGCGTAGCCGGTCTCGCGCCCGCAGCATCGAGCGGGATCGGGATCGATATCCCGATGCTGGCTCCACTGTCTCTACTACCTCAGCAACCACCACCGCCGCCACTCCTGCTTTAGGTTCGGATTCTGTGCGCCGCAATCGCGATCGCGACACGGCCGACGACGAAGTGTTGCAGCGCATTCGGCAGTATCGCCGCCGCATCGATCAATTAGCCGACGACACCGCCGCCCTCAGGTCGCCCACGAGTTCAAGCTCGAGCTCCGAAGACGAGGGGCACGTGGGGCGCAGGATGCAGCGCGAGTTCGACCATAGTTTCCGCGACTACCGGAAGAGACAGAGCAAAGGTACGCACGCCCCCCTTCGAGAATGTTTGCATGCGGATTTGACTTTTGATTAACATTTTGCCTAATAAACAATAGCAAGTTTGTGGTTGTTTGCAATTTATTCACCAACTTACAATTCGTATCTATCCCAGTTTCCTGTGACCTTAGCATTGACGCGTAATTTTGAAATCTTGCATTGAATTACATCTTCATGGAGCGCACGTAAGTTAACCTCAAACTACGCCTACTTTTAGCAACCGTTTTATTTTCTAAAGTTGAAGGTCAACGTCAAAATAAGATAATAACCGCATTGATTTTCTATAAAATTTTTACTGCACATCAATTTTCATGCGTTTCCTCGCCCAATTAATTTACTTCTTTATTCAATTTGATTTTGGCCCGAAAACGTTATATCATCTTTGAGGATTTTATATCTTTTTGTATTTTGACAACTTGGCTACCTGCTAGCTACTAGCACCATGACATCGTACCAGTTTTATTGTCTTTCGTCTTGTCTTGCCTTGCAAACTCTTTCCACTCATTTCACAAGCTCCTTATAAAATCCAAATACGTGCAGCGTGTAAGCTTGCCATTCTTTCCGTTGGAACATCTCTCCGCGGCACGTTTGATTTCGACCCAGTCTTCTTCGTCTTCGTTCCACACCACGAGTTTCACTCACTTCGCGCGACTCACCGCACGCGAATCCTTTTTGTGTTATCCTGGCCCAGGGACGATTTGCGCCCGGACAACCCCAGGCAAACCTTTGATGCGTCACGTACACGTCAATGTTTCTTTTACCGGAGGCAGTCAGGCAGCTGCTCGCGGTGAACTCCGCCGCCGGTGGTTTTTATTTTCTCTTTAACTACTTTTATTTCTTACTGTTTCTTAGGAGCGAAATTTCTTAGATGCCAGCCATCTACCTGATACAATTGTTTAAACCTCAACAGAAAGAAAATGATTTACCTTTTTGCTAAAACTACATTTTGCTTTGTGTTGTTAGTTCCAGTGAAGTTTGTATAGATGTTGTGAGATAATACAAGATACATCTAACAAAATATTAATAATAGGAAAATGTTGCGCTGGCTACAATTTACTTGCTGCGGGCGTTGCTCGTTTTCCTGAAATTCTGAAAACTTCATTTATCATAACGGAAGCAGCGCATAACAACGTGAGCGTTGTATTTTATTTTCCTTTCATTCTGTTCTATGTTATTTTTGAACCTTGAATATGATAGATTTGAGAAACAATTTAAATTATACGATATAAAAAAGAAATTGTGCACAATTTATGCGTCAACAAGATATTTTCTCATTGTGGTTGCTAACTAGCAGCTACCAGAGTTGCACTTTAATTACAACACGTGGCACATACTTCGTTTCATTTGCCTTACGTAATTAGCAACGTTGGCATAAATTTCTATCGGAGTAGTTCGCATAGATGTCACACTTGACTATTCATTCCTGTTTACATACATTGGCACATTTGTACGTGTACACATTTTGATCTTCCTCATTCATATGTATTAGTTATTGAACGTAAACATATGTAAAGTGCAAATGTTCAACTTGCAAATATCTAGTAATATATAATTAGACTTATCAGTGGCAGTGGAACACATAAAATTGAATCGCAAACTAAATTTGGTTACATTTACAAGTTACTTTAAGTAAAAACATGTTTTTTATTTAATTTATTTTTTCTTGCAAAATAGTTTTGTGTTGTATTATCTTTCTTCAGTGGCAATTCATATCAATTAATATTCGTGTTCTCGAAAACATGTTTTTATAATAATATTAATAATTTGAAGTGAGTTTTAAATTTCACGAATTACAAGCGAATAATGAGGGTAAATTATTATATGAAAATAATTATTTCTAACTATTGTGTATGTCGTTATCATATTACATCATAATGTAGTTAACGCAATTAAATTTAAATATAACTTTACCGACTGCTAAAAACTTTAATTTATTATTATTATTTATAACTAAAAGCTTTTAAATTATCATTTATTAAGCAGGAATATTTCATAACATTAATAATAATTTTAACAGAGAAAGTATGAAAATAATCATCATTTAATTTTAAAGCCTTTTAGTATATTTTGTGGGCTTATTTTGAAAAAATGTTAAATTGAAAAATGTGGTAACAAAGTATTTCTTTTGAACAATAGGTGGAGACATCAATATAGTCTTTCCATTTATTTACAAGCTACAAAGGCATTGCGTATTTGTTGTTTATCAGTGCATGTGGCAAACTGACCTTTCGCCACTACTATTGTTAAGCAAACCAGTTCCAGCCTCTAGAAAACAAAATCTTATCAGTAAGTCACCGTCGAAATCAGTTTTGTGAACGCGTTTCTTGTGTGCACCTCGTGGCTATTCAAGCGTAAATATTTTAAAAGACTACTAATTTTATCGTGTATTCATTCGTTTAAAATTTAATTAAAAACGCGTTGAAACATTTAGTGTGCAAAACAATGGTTTTATCAATATTTTTATAGACTTTAGCTGTGCTGTGAGGAATTTCACATTCTCGGACGAACAAAAAGATAGAAGGACTCATCAAGGTAATGCCCCGTGATGCACGTAATCCTAATGCGCGGAGAAATGTTGCTGTGGCGACAGCGTAAATTTTAATGAAAGCGTGCCTTGTTCTCATACACAATCCTTCTTCTATTGTGATGTATCCTCGCACATCGCGCACACATTCAAGCGTACCCTTTGCCCAACGTGGCGCATCATCGCGTAACGAACGCGTTTGTTACATTACCTCTAAGTTATAATTTTAAACTTTGATATTATGAAAGTTTTCTGAAGCCTCAGGCGCGTACTCGGCACCAAAGTATAATAAACATAGGAGTTACATTGCAAAAGATGTTTTTTTCTACTTCACGTAAATTTATAAGTGAATAATACTCCTGAAACAAATATTTAATTAAATTAATTAATATAATACATGTATTTAAAGATATATTTAAATTCAGCGTCTTCCTTTTCGGTTTCATTATAATTCGATTTAAAATTGTATACGAATGTTAATCATCGGATTTGTTTTTGATGTGGGGTCGGCAGATTCAGAATTTTATTGAATTCAGCCATGCGAGGGGATTCGTGCGCGCACGCATTCGAACGCTCCGCATTGAAAATTTGCATATTTATTGAATTCACGAGTTATAATAAATAAATCGATTTCAATCCGGAAATATTGCATTTACAATTATTGGGTTAATATCAGCCGAAATATGCAATATTGTTTTAAATTGTATTCAGCATTTTTAGCAATTTAAAGATCTTATTCGTATTACCTGTTATTTTTGCTGATTTTAGCTGAATTTTGAAAAATGACTCATATTAGTTATCTTCGCACTTCTTTATCCAGTTATGGTTTTGTATCAAGTTCGCTACCGTAGTCGGAAATATCAAACAGGCAACTACTTTCTCGCAAATGTTCTGACATCAAGCAGTTCGTAGAAAAGAGTCAGGACGTTTGCTTCCGCTCCCAACTTGATATACGATTCCGGAACATTTCGCCACGACGCTCCTTGCGTTCCCGGCTCGCGGCACGTACTCGCGTTTCACACACATGTCCATGCCAACAAAACTATCAGACTATCGAACTTCCATTGCCGCCTTTGCCTTTCGCAGACGGCGAAGTATATTGCTGAAATTGTAGAAGTTTCAGTCAGTGTCGAAGGCATCCGCCACCTTTACGTCTTGATCATTTTATCGCATTATACGCCGTGAATGAGAAGAAGAAAACGGTACTCATATTTTAACTTTATGACTTTTTATCTTTGCGTCCAATTATTCTAGTGAGATTAATTTGAATAGGTTTTTGCAACTTTTTAGCTGGAATTTTGTGAGTTGAGATGATAATTCTCTGGAGAATATCATACTTTGTTTGTCGACTGGGGAATGATGTAATTCACTTAAGTGGTAGAGTGTACTGCACTCGCATGAAAAGTTTCGTGCGTCTGCAATCACATCGAGTGTTATTTGCGCGCGCCGACATTTTCCCGCACTTTGAAAAATATGATACAGCGTGCGAGCGGCGCGCCGGAAACACGTCTAAATATCAATTTCCTCAAAATACCTATAAATTTGTAACGAAATACGGTATGAAAGGAAAGTTACTTATTTGCTTTTTAATGCGGAAATCAAATATTCAAAACTTAGGTATTTACGATATTAAAATAGCATAGAATATCAAAGAGGGAATTATTCCGAAAGAGTAGACTTTTTATTTTCGCAATTAAATTTATATGAGGTGAACGTATGCGGAAAAAAACAGACAACTGAGAATAATGAATACCTACATAGTTCATAATTTCGCAACTTTATTGTGATTATGATGGAAAACACCCTCGAGCACAAAGAACAAATGTGTTTAAAATTTAAATTAAAATTTTCAATTAAATGCTATTAAAACTAAAACTAAAACTAAAACTAATAAAAAGGAGTGGCATGGTATATTTTTGTTTTAATCAATTAGAATTCAATAAAGCTATTCATATTTTATCAGTGGAATTTTTTAAATAAAAATTTTAATTAAAAAAGTTAACAATGAACAATATATTTGCGGCGGAGATTAAGTTTCAACTATAAAGTTAATAATTTTAGTTGTCCGGAAATTAAGGAGGGTTTTCCCCACAATGATTTTGCTTTCGATAATTTTTAGCATTGTGATTAAAAGTTTAGTTACTTGAACAAACTCATTTTAATGATTTAATCGATGATTTATCGACAAAGTTTATAACTTTGTTACACAACTTTGTAAGACTTTTGATTGCATCTAACTACTTTTATAATCATCGCAAAATTCCGTAGAAATACTATTTTCCACAGTTTTCCGGTTGTATTTGTTTATTTTGTTGATATATGATTTTGCTGCTAAATCAATTCAAATCTCATTAAATTATTTATTTATGTTTAATAAGTCAACTTGCATATGACTTTTATTTGGGTTTACGTGTTACGTTAGCAAAACGAACGTTATTGTTTTGGGAATAACTCGGCTAATGTCGACTTTGCGTTATTGTTATTCTCAGGAAGTTGATTTTAAGTTTTTGTTTGCTGTGCTTCTGCATACACGCGATTCGCGTACAAGTACAACTGCATATTGACTCGACTAGTTTAACATCGCAGAGGTATGTTTATATAACATGCGTGCATGTTTGAGTAATAATTGTTTTGCAGTGTTCCGGAACATTGCAGTATATTCAGTAATGTACTGACGAGCAAAAACAAAACTAATATTTAATAATCTCAACAATTTAAATTCACAAACAGAATATTTTCAATTCCGTAGCATAACGCTATTGATCAAAAGGCTTTTCTTTTATGTCTCCATCAGAATTGCTAATGATACTAACTTGGTACATGAAAATGTCCTCGCCCTTCGCGCTTGCATTGTGGTAGGTGGAAAATAGCGACTCGGTGCGGAGTAATGTCGTTACAAGCTCGGTCGCCTCCCGGTTGTTGTTAGAATGTGCAAGTTGCGAAGGCTGCACGATGTGCTGAGCAAAAAGGCAACGCCCAGCATATCCTGGATAATGCCGGTATTAAATTGAGCCCCTTGTAGCTATCTACCTGAGAACGTACACGTGCACATGAAAACATTTAACCATCGCTTTTGGATACTGGTATACCAATATAGACAGTTCAGCCAGTGCTGGGGCTAGTAGCAAGTGAGAAGAAGGGTTTGAGGTGGAATCTCCTACGTGTGGGGATTTTCCAATCCAACGCCGTGTGTGCTGCTATATATCTCATTTCATCTTTCATTCGTTCGGCGTGTTCAAGCGTGGGGGTGGTAGAAATAAGCGAGAATACGCCATACTAGCACGCTATGGAATTTTATTCCAACTATTATTCTCCATCTAGTTCACAAAACAATCTAGGTATATAGCAAGGCCTATAGAATCTATTAATATGATGCTATTGAATCAAGTCTATAGAATTATAGATCATTGAAAAGTTAGGGAGGTAAATACCTTGATTCTTTTAATCAAAAATATAAAACTTTAAAACAAATCAATAAAAATATGATATTTTTATATAAAATTTACTGTCGCAATATTTACGCAGTATCAAGTTCACACCTGAACCTTAGCAATGCTATCATATTAAATAAATCGCAAAATATTGACATATCTTGGACGCGTCGTGAACGCTCCCGAATGAATTATGTTTGCGTTGGAAAAACATGCGGAATTTTAGCAATTTTTTTCTGTTTGTGTGGAAACGAAAATGCGAAAAGTGTACAGGAAACTGAAACAGAACGCATTCAAAGAAAACATCGCAAAAACGTTGATGTAGATGAAATGTGGGTCAATTTTTATGACCATGCAAGTACCAACATCAGTTTATCTGATTTACTTCCTAATTACGCACCATAACTCTGCAAAATTAAATAAAATTTGCAGGTGTTCACAATATTCTCTTGATTTTTATGGCTGGTACTTCTATGAATGGCAATTTTTAAAGCTTTTCCACGTCAAAACATGAAATATAATATTTCAAACTTGCCATGTTTTGGATACTTCGCGGCGTCGTGAGTAATGTGCGTGCTCTCCGGTCGTTTCGCTATCGCCCATCACAACCATGCTACCTACCTACCTACCTACCTTTCCGTTACCATTCCGGCATGACCTGCTGTGCTTGTACGCTTGCCTGCTGCCTGCCGCGTTCTGGTATGATCGCTTGGTCGCTGCTCCACCCTAAACTGCTTACTACGCCGGCCGCACGCAGACGTCGCAGACCGCTCTGGCTTTCCTCCTGCAGCGTCGGTCGGCTATGCGCCCGCGCGCTCGACCTCGCCTCTTCACCTTTTCCTGCTGCTGCTGCTGTTCCGCCGGCAGCAGGCAGCCACGGCATGCCTGGTTGCGAGCCTCCAGTCGCACAGCGCCTGTCTCAGCGCGCGCGCGTGTCGCACCGGGTCGATTTCTGCTGCTTTCCTGCTGCACGGAAAGGCGTATCACGTCGGCATAAACTATAAACAATCAATTCTCACACAAACAGTTTGACAACTAATTAAAATCTTCACAAAACTTACAAAATTATACGAAAACTAATATTCATTTGTTCTATCAAGTTGTCAGACAGAAAAAAGTTTAATTACTGTTTGAATTGTTGATGATTAGTGAGTGCACATGGTGTAATCGATTTGTTGCAACAGAAAACAAAGTGTAGTTTTGCAAAACTTGGAATTTGTAATTTGGAGGCATTATGAAATGATAAACCAATAACATTGGAATTTCAAGCAATACAAAAGGTACTTTAATTTTACTGCCACGAATTGTTTTTTACATGTTTACCGAAACGAACATTATCGAAAACTATCAATGTCATCAACTAAAACGTTGTCGAACAATTTAAAAACTACGACCTTCGTCATATAACAGTAAAATGTGTACTCAATAATTTCATAACTTTTTTACTGCTTTATAATTTAATTCTTCAACTTGTTAGACGCAAATAACAGGATATCATAAATTAATTTTAATTTCAAACATACTTTTTTTACTTTAAATGTTGACAACCTAAGTATTCTGTAATTTGCTGCTTAAAACGTTATAAAATGTTAAGCCTTTCCGTGGATTTAAAAGCTCAACGTATTTATTAAAATTAAAATCAAGATGGGACGCTCCTGAATTAAATCTAATGACTCTTGATGACCTATTGTTGTCCTGGAGTATGGCAAAGCAGGACTATATTGATTGTACAAAATTTGTTGAGCATTTCAAACTTGAATTTGCCGCTTTAACTGGTAGTCTTATTCAACTCTTGCGTATTATTCAAAACGCCTCGAATTTGAGAATCAATTAAGCATTTCAAGTGAACAGCAATGGTCTCGGTGGTTGGCGGCGGCGGTGACGAAGGCGTCGTCTCAGTCATTACACGTAATTTGTTGTGCTTTCCGTCGCGAGCGCGCGTACTTCAATTGTCATGCAAAAAAGGCACTTCAAACTTTGCAAAGCGTGAGCGCTCGGCGCGGAAAAATTTCTATTGACAACACGACGCAAATGTGCAACTGAAAGGAAAACTTGATGCTGATGAAAAACATCAACTTTTCCATTATATTTTTCGACAAGTTGTGATGATTTTAAAAGCGGATCAAAAGTTTAAAATATTTAGGATTTTATATTTACGTTATTTATGAACACTTTAGATATAAAATATGCAATATGTAAAATACGTGTAATTAAAAGAGTTGATGAATTCATTCGAGCGTTTTTGATAAATGAAGGCCCGGAAAACGTACATTAGCAACCCGCCTCGTGCCGAGCAGGAGGTTTGCAAACGCGTGTGGAAAATTTCGGGCGTCGGCCAGGAACAATACAAACACTGCAGATGATAAACCCGACCCGGGCGAAAATTCGTGAATACGAACTTGCAAATGCGCCACGGGTGATTAATAAAGACTCTTTTTTTCTCCTGGTTTTATATTTTTCGCGTACCAGCATCCTCAATACACGCTTTCTATAAAAATTTATTCATTAATAATGACAGTTATTTATTTGAATTTCTTATAATTTATTATTCAATTGTTTAGAATGTGTGTTAATTTTAATTTATCGGTTTAAAGCAAGTAAAAGCAATTTTCTTTCTGTCGAGTTTACGCTTGTAGTTCATATTCTTCTTCTTCATTCGGTCGTTCTGCTTTTGGTTTGTACTGGTTGCTGGTGGCCATGATGCGTGTGCACGCGGGCGGAATGTGACGTGTAACGCGCGTTTCAGGATGAGCAAATAAACAGAATGGGGCATAGATAAAGAACGGTGAAAGTAGACGCCGGCGACGAGAAGAGGTATTCCGTGTTTCCGGTGTTGATGACGCCGGTCGGCTTTTGTGCGCCAACTTGCCAACAACTGGCATGCACGAATTATTTCGAATATGTAGGGCTAAACATACCTGGTATAAAAGGTGTTTGCATGCCTGCCCAGGGCAACAAATACCTATATTTTACCTGTCTGGACAAAAACTCACCAACTAGTGAACAGTAAGGTTGATACCTCAAGCATATATGTTTGCAGTATTTTTATATTATACTCGTAATTCGGTAGAATTTATGATGCGTCATAATTAAGTAGTAATAGTAACGCGCCTTATGACGGAAATGCACGGTAAATGATCACACATATGATAGTATGAATTTGTTCATTGCGGTGATTTTTTTCTTCACCTGCGACTTTGCAACCTTTTTCGTCATATTCTGAGGTCGTTTATAAGCACTTACAATTGAGATGTTTGTAGTAATTTGTATATGCTTTGAAGTACTTTGAAGTTTTACTTGATGATTAAGATGATTACTACTACTGCTACTATATAAAACCAGATTTAAAAGGACTTGATGAACATGATTTGTATCCACTATTTCACCTATATTTCTGCTATCACTCTTGTTACTCGAGTACCTTGGTGACTTCTAACTGCTCTGTGGTTTACCGGAAATAAATGTAGATGATGAAAACAACGATTGTGCACGACTTTGTTTTGCTTTTCTAATTTCCTTACAACTAGCACAAAGCTGTACATTATCTGCTTCCTGTTGGAGTAACAGAAGGCTGATGGCATTCTTGATGGTAAATTGCATGGCAGTCCCAATATTCAAGTAAGTGATGACAAGCGCCAACATCCATACCTTGCAAGTCTTTTAAGCTAACCAACTCTTCTTTAAGTAACAAATCCAATTCTATTTCATTATCAAAGGTGAAGGTTACCTTAGCTGTACCCACAGCAGTATTTAGATGCTCAACTCCTGATTATTTCATCAAAGTTTGCACCATCGAAGTAAAGTAAAGGCATTTGAATTATGCTTACGTCTTGCGACCCTTAAACTATAGAAGATATTAAAAATCCACGGGGATGTTCTTATTTAGCTTCGCCCAATTTGAAACTATTTTCTTGTGACTGGATTGTTGATTATAGAAATAATCTGCAATTTTGTTCATCACAACCAACAATAAGTGTATGGTGTAGAGACTGTAGAGGTTATAAGTTTGAATTTCAAAAGACCATCAAATGACCTTCACGCTGCCGTCTAATTGGCCAAAAAGTCAGCCAGCATGATTTTTGATGACGTCGGAGTATAAAATCCATGATGGCCGTTGTTTGCAACATTTTTATTGGTGGTTGTTAACTGCCTAGGTTTACGAAATTTTCCCTAGCAACCAATGACAATCGTACGCGCGAAATTTGAATATTTGAAAACTAATTTTTATGATTGCTGGTATATATAGACTACCTTCTTTACATTTTAGCTAAGTAAAGTTAAGTAAACACTTACTGTACGCTATACCTTCAAAATATCGCCGAAACGATATTTTACTAAACCACTGCATTATGTCCACCAATTGTTTCGGCGATATTGTGAGGGTATAGCGTACAGTAAGTGTTTACTTAACTTTACTTAGCTTATACTCACCCTCTCGTACTACCATTGTATTTTATTTTTGAAATATTTATTTATTTATAATTTTTCGTGAATATTGAATTTACAATTTATATTTATAACTCCAAATATAATAGAGCAAGAGCCAGTGACGGCCAGACTTTCGTCATTTTAGGAAAGATGAAATTTTGTCCATGTGTTTCTCCAACACAGGTAAGAACGATCCCCAATTATGAAACCTGGATCGTGGTTCCTTTGGCAGTTAACAGCCAACAGAGATGTACACATGATGACCTATGTTTCGTTATTTTAGCAAAGTCCATTTTTTTTTTTTTTTTTTGGCTAGGGTTGGAACCATACCCGGTGACTGGCAATGAGCAGCGCATGTTATAGGGGAAGGGGGGGCAAAGTGGGCCCCTGGGGGCAAAGTGGGCCCCTGAAATTCAGATGGCTTAAAAAATTGAGGGGCAAAGTGGGCCCCCTAAAATTTTTGATAAATAAGAGGGGAAAATAACTCATATCAACAAATTCGAAGTAAGAAATGAAAAAAAAAATATATATAAGCAAAAAATGGATACAAAGGTAATAGCAAAATTTTTATGGGCGGGGGCCCACTTGCCCCATATTCTGAATTTTTTTTTATTTTGATAGACACGGCTTATTAATATTGAATACTGAACAAGGATGTAAAAAATAGGGTAACGAGTGAAACAAGGTAAACAAATCCCCTTTTTTCGCTTATGGGGCCCACTTTGCCCCCCTCTCCCCTAATAATGTGACGAACAAAATATGCAAAAAGGGAGTTTGCTAAAATAACGAAACATAGGTCATCATGTGTACATCTTTGTTGGCTGTTAACTGCCAAAGGAACCACGATCCAGGTTTCATAATTGGGGATCGTTCTTACTTGTGTTGGAGAAACACATGGACAAAATTTCATCTTTCCTAAAATGACGAAAGTCTGGCCGTCACGGGCTCTTAGTCTATAAATCCAATATTCACGAAAAATTATAAATAAATAAATATTTCAAATATAAAAATGGATTACGTATTCGCCAAAGAAAGTAATACATTGTATTTTAATTCTTTACATTTATAACTTGAAAACACTAGCTAACTGACTCAATGAGAACTGAAGACAGTTCATACTTTGTTATATATAAGTATAACAAAATTGAGGATCTTATTGACGGTGTCGGAACTTAATTGGTCCAAGAAACAAGGAAGTAATTAGCTAGGCTACTTTTATCAAAATCTACATGAACGAAGTTGTAAAAAATTACTGGTAAATTAATGATTATAGGTTATATTGGGCATTTATACTTTATTTATTTTTTTCAACATTACTGGATGTTTTTCACGTTATCCAATTTATTTTGTCGTTCATTCCATTGTTTTGACAAAAAACTAAGTTCACATTTTGCATTTGCACCGTAGGCAAGGCTCGAGTTGGTATAATCCATTGTTGAACCAGGTTTTTGCCACAGGACATACCGGATTGCCTGGACAAAATGATTTTTTATCGGGCAACCGCACAATGACGGCACTGTCGTATTCAATAGCGTAAAACTTGGAAACGAAAATGGGAACATAAATGGAAATGTGTGTCAATTTGGGTGGACATAAATCAATTTCATTGGCCAAAATGTATAACTTTAGATAGGGTAAAAGAGGGTAATGGGGGTCACTTAAGGGAGAACTCAAATATAATTTAAATTATAAACAAAATACTTGTTGCAATCGCTTATAAGCATTGTTTACTTAAATACCTATTATTTGAAATAATTTTCAGTCACTTTGACAATCAATTTTGGATATTATTAAAGTTTAAAAAAAAAACAGATTTGACTCCCATTACACCGACATGCGGGTAATGGTGGTCACCCTGGGGACAATCGGAATCAAACGAAATCTAGCAGGTATCGCGGACATAATATTCCGCAAAGTCCCACCCAGTGCATTTCACATGAGCTCATAGCCCACATGAAGTGCATCTGAACCACATTTAATTGTTTTTTTTTTAAATCGTTGCACATTAGACATCAGTTTTCCAAATCTTCATCCTCATCGCCCTGGCATAAGTCATCAGTGCCAATATTGGAATCATAAGTTTTGTTACTTTCCTGCAGTATCGTTTCTGCAAGAAGGCTATTGAAAAATAAGTCACATTGCTTTTTATAGGCCTTTTAGAGCGGACTAAAGACAAAAACGACCATTGGGAGTCGCATGACTCCCATTGCCCACAATTGCAATATTGTGAAAAAAAAACCAAAAAAAATATTTCTTCAAAACATTAATGTAATCTGAACTGCAAATCACGATTTTGAATGTTTAACTAAGACTATATAAAAGTTTGATTCGAATATTGCAAGATATTCGACACTTATCTTCTAATTTGCGTGGACGTAAAATTAGATCAGCGGAGCTCAAAAATAAAATATTGGCGTAACTCAATGATACACGCACCGATTTGCATGATTTGTCGGGGGTGGCACTGGGGGGCCAGAACGGAGGTAGGAACACCGTTTACGCGTTACTCGTAACTATTGTTTCGTGGATATATGGGTGACTCCCATTACCCGCTGACTCCCATTACCCTACTCTCCCCTACCGCAAAAAATAAATAGATAATAAAAGTAAAGTGGGCGATAAAATCTTTTTTTTGGTCCAGTTTCAATCTCAACTTGGAATCATCGTTTTTACAATCTTTGAAACAGGAAATTGGATATTGGCTTTGGAGTGCATTAAAAAAAATGCAAAACGTAAAGAAAGTAGTTAATATAATATACAAGTAAGCGCAGAAATTAGTTTTCATATTTTCAAATTTTCCGCATTTGAAAGGTTTGATTGTGATTGGTTGCTATGGAAAAGTTCCTGAATCTGTGCGGTTTGTAACCCGGACGTTATCAAAAATCATGATGGTCGACTTGTTAGCCAATCAGTCGGCAGGGTGAAGGTCGTTTGGTGGTGTTTTGCATTTCAAACTTATTACTTCAACACCATACTCTTTTTATCTGTTGTGGTGTAGCTAAATATGAATAGTCCTGTGGATTTTAAATATCTTCTAAAGTTTTATGATCACAACACGTTGGTATAATTTGATGGTACATTTTTAGAAGCTAAGTATTGCTAGGGAGGTGCCAAGCTATTTTCACTTTTGATAATTAAATAGAATTGAACTTGTAAAATTAGCCAAGGTATGAATGTTGGAATTTGTAATCATTTACATGTATGCTGGGACTGTCAATTTATCATCAAGAATTCCATCTGCTTTCTGTTACTCCAAGAGAAGGTGCACAATGCATAGATTTGTGTTAATCGATAGGAAATTGGAATCACAGAAAAGTCTAACACAATCTTTGTTTTCATCATCTACATATATTTCCTGTATACCAAAGAACAGTTTTAACTGATCAAAGACCTCAAGTGACAATACTGCTAGAAGTAATGTATGTGGATTCAAATAGTAGGTACAAATCATGTTCATGAAGCTCTTCTAAATCTGGTCCTAAGCATGGAGCAAGTAGTAGAAGTGGAAGCAAATCGTCATAATTATCAGGAAAAAGTAATGTGACGCAAAATGTAATATAAAACGCAAACAAAGTTGAGTCGAAACCTAAACTTTGAAGTTAAAAACGCATGGAATCGTTCGCGTCTATGTTTGAAGGTCGCGCCCGTGGTAATCGGACGAGATTGTCAATGCCGATGCACTCGGCAGGGTCGCGGCGCGCCGCTGGTTTATTCTACGTTCTTGTGGTTCCACCGTCTACGAAACTTCTTCAACTCTTCGTTCTTCGCATTTTCGTCCGTCAGGTCTTCGACATTCTGCGCTCGCGCAAAACGTTTTTACATTCTTTGTTGTCTACTATTTACAACAAACTCCACAGAACAGCAGTGCTCTACTATTTAACAAAGTTTAAGTTTTTGTAGGATCGATTTTTTTTGGTCTGAACTAATAGAATTTGGGAAGTGTTGGCATTTATTACTTAATTTATAACCATATTAGACTTCTTCGTTTGGGTTACTACGTGTTGTGGTATTGTACTTAATTATTGTAATCCACGTAATTCTTGTAGCATGGTGCTCGGCCAAGCGTCACGTCGACGTTTTATTGTCACTTTTAACGACGCACTTAATTCATTCTAATATTCATGCGATTCATGACAGGTATTACCTCTGTTAGCGAGCATCGCTGTTTGCGGCATTATTATTATCAATGTTATTAATGTGACGTGCGCGTGCTACCAAACGATGCGCTCTGGTCGCCACTGAATTATAAATTTACAACGAAAATAGCATTAAATTACAAATTCACACAATTGACATTTAAACAAACAACCATAAACAAAATAAAACCACTTTGCGGAGTTATTGCATGGTTAATTAACTAATCAATACAATATTTTATAAATATTCAGGATACTTATCTACATTTAGGATTTTTTTAAACTAATAGTGATAAACATTTGTTTACATATTAGATATTAATATATCTATATTATTTATTTGTTTCAGGTGAGTTTGGATGAACAGTGTGGTTATTCTTGTCCATATCATCAAAAATAATATGTGAGTTTAATTTTAAACACTGGCAATAGAGTGGCATCAAGAAATAAATAAAACAAAAACGTATGAATTGTAATTGAAACTAATGCAGTTGAATCATGGCCAAAAATGATTTAAAAATAATTTATTCGCTTTAATTTAGCTGAAATTCGCGAAATCTAAAAATAAACTTTTGGCACAATTCTAGCCGACATCAAATTTTCGTCTTTGATCAAATGTATTTTTAGTCTTCGAGTCAGCATTTACTCTTCATTTCAAGATCCATTCCACGAATTTGCGTCTGCTTCCATATACACAAAGCTAATTGAATTTGCACATTTATCAAGTTCGTGCTCGTCTCGTTGAATTTACGCACAATAGCAAATTAAAGAGAATTAAACTGATTGCCCACAAGCGTTGAACTGTTATTTAAACTTCAACACACCGGGAAGAAATTGTGTTTATGCTGAATTTTCACTGTGGTTAATGTCCTATCCTACTACTATAACAAAGTGAATGGATTTGCGGAGAATGTTCTGAGAATTGAGTCGATGAAAACGCCAGGAACGTGCCCGGCACTGTTTGTTTCGTTTCGCCGGCGCTACAGTTGAACGCACTCATCGCATCTGCCGCAATGAGTGATTGTTATTTAATTAAGTACGCGACTGCCTGCTGGCGACTGCATCGCAATTGCAATATTCGCAATCGCCGTTCGAGTGACGCGCGCGCATTTACTGGCAATAGTGGGTAGTTATTGTACGAATATAGATGGAAAAAAGATGGAATGGTTAAAGTGATTGTCGGTACTTTATTCTCATGCAAATGTAGATTGAGCAACTGTTGTCAGAGTTTAGATTTGCACGCGAAAAGCAATGATTGAATTTTGATTGTGGCGATGGACCGGACTCGCCTGTCCAATGATAGAGTAGTTCGCCGCAATCAGCCTGGCGAAGCACACAAATTCGGTAATTGGAATTGTCAGATGAACAATCGGACGAGAGGCGAGAGAAAATTGACACATTTGTGCAAACAATTTACACCGAAATGACGGTTTTAGTAGCCTCAACGTCCAGAAACTGTGTATTTAAAAATTTATTTTGTGTTAATTATTTAATAATTTACTTGTTGTTTGAAAGTTTGACACGCCCGAAAATTTTTATTCCGCCCGCGGCATCGGCCGGGCTGGAGCGGTTTTCGGTGGCGGCATGTAAGTGCACATATCGCGGCCCAACGCGGCGCGCCTCGCCGCGCTCCAGCCTTATCGATAAAACGTTGACGTCACGGCGCCACCCTCGCCCAGGCTTGGCTTGGGCGTCGCGGGCGTCACGTCTCGTATTGTGTCGAACGCGAACAGAGCCCAGAATAGGGTCACGCATTTCCGCGCCCGCAATTCAAACTCAAATATATCTTATAAATTATAGGTACTTAGTAAATAAATTTAGTCAAGCATATCAAGCAAGTTTTACGACATGCTTAAAAAGTTGAATCGATAAATTTGTTATTCATGATTTCTTAAAATGTTTCTTGTCATTTTCTGTTTTTGTTGTTACGATCATGAATGGTATATCTGCACAAGTTGTTGAGATGTGTTGAATGTGTTTAGAAGTTGGAATGTGGGATATAAAAAAGTTTTTCAGATAAAGTACAAAAGTGTCAATGGAAATGTCCCGTATAAATGGAAATGTTTGTTTTCCCATGCTCGGTATATATTTTTACGTGGTTTTCCTGTCGCCAGAGAAAATAATACCATTTCAAGTTTGTCTCAACTGTCAAATTGGTTTATTCGGAAAATTTTACAGATAGCACTTCTTTCGCTACGTTGAAGCGTAAACATTTACGAAAATCAATACTGTTGAATTATTTATAAAAGTGTTTTGTTTTACAATGTGCAAACGTTTGCAATTCGTTTGATTTACAATTCTCCGGATTTTTTTTTGTTATCCTTTTCTGTTGATTTTCGTTGATTTTTCGCAATGTTGTAGGTGTTCTTCTGGTTTGCCAGGTTGTGTTAGATTTGTCTCGCTTTGTAGGCTTTGAAACGAAAAGAGTTTCCATTTGATCAATTCGTTCCCTTTCGTCGACTTACATGCAGCGGGTGCGATTCTAATGTGTGGATCGCCGCCGCTGCCGTAAAAGAAAAACTTTATTGGATTTTGGTTTCGGGAGCGTGTCGGCTTGCTCTCGCGAGAAAGAAACCCCCAAGCATTTCGTGCAACCGCCGCCGCCGAGAAAATCCGCAAACATCTTAGAACCAAAAAGTAAAAGCTGAAACTAAAGAGCAGCATCAAAGAAAGTTGCTGTAATCATCTGCACACACCCAAAACATTTCCGGGGTATTTATACAGCCACTTGTCAACGTATTCAAGAAAATGTTAAGCTTTTGTTGATATTTTTAAAACAACCTGTATTTGTATATATTTTTATATGGGTTAGTTCCGTGTTAAGATACATTTGTGGTTTCTTTTTACTTTTGCAAATTGAGCGTGGAACATTCAGTGCGAGACTGAAATGAGGTTGAGTATGTGAGTTTAGAGGTGGCAATAGGGAAAAAGGATGCTGCCGACGCGCGGCACTTTCGTTTTTCGGCGACTTTCTAAGGGTTGGTTTGATCTTTTCCCGCTTTGTGGCGCATACATTTCAAACACTTCCTACTTGGGCGAAAAAAGAAACATCTGTAGCGCAATATTAAATTAAATTTGTATTACAGTTTTTTTTTATTCTATTAAATGATAGCAAAAAGTTATATTGCCAACGAAGGTCATATTGATGCACTATCATCGTAAAATCATCATCATAATAGTTACGGTATTAAATTCATAACTTTACTGTTTTGCCATAAAGTTTGTAATAATAGTACTACGAGTAAACTTAAAATTATTCTCCATTATTGAAAGAGATGTTTCGAAAACTTTATATTTAAAAGTTCTAGATTTAAACTTCTTGAATAAAACATTATTAAACATTAAATAGTTTGGTTATGGTTGAAAAGATAATAAATGTTTACTGTTAGTTTCTTTTAAACAGCAGAGAGGGTAGATGTCTTCAATATTCGGGCTGTTTACATGCTTGCTTTGCCTTACATTTATTAAAATCGATAATCGACTATCTGCCGTCTCAGTATTTATGAATATTTATCGCTTTCCATTAAGCAACCACTACGTACTTCCTACATTTATGCCTTCTAGCAAACATGCTACTAATGCGACTAAAGCAATCAAGACAACAAACAAAAACACAGTGTTTATTCCATACTACAAGTACCTAAACAATATTACATAAACAATATTTATTTGTGTTGTGGGTTTTTTACATTTAGCACAGTTTCCATTTTTTAATATTTTAGATTGTGCGGCAGAAAATCAGTTAATTGCTATTGAATTTATTTGTTATAATCAAACATCAGCGGAAAGATATTTGTCGGAAAGATTGTGGTATAACGAATAGAAGTAATTGATGATTCCATTCGCGTTTTCAATTATCGCCTTGATTACGTGTCTGACAGGACGATAGACGTACCGAAGGCGAAAAATAGCCCACCAACGGATGAGAATGGTGAAGGATGCGAAAAGCAATAAGAGCAATGCGAACGTCTAGTCGCAGAGAGCTTTTCCTTAGGGATTTGTGTGTCACGTGCTTATTTTTCATCAATCCAACTTCTCACATGTAATCAAAAACATGCTACCAACAAGTGAAATAGTGAAATCCATTTATTTTCTAATCATATGCTTTCTTCGGTGAGCAAAAGTTTTGCATTTAATATGATTCATGTGTGGGATCGGTGAGTGTGAGTTCAAATGTTCTAATTGATGTGTGTTAAAAGACACGATGTTTATTATCACGAACAATGTTTATTAAGAAGTCTTGAAGAAGTATAGTTAAGAAGTATTGTAGAGAAGAATAGTTAAGAACTGTAGTGTTTGAAGTAATGTCAAGAACTGTCCTTCCTAAACCCTTGTCACCCACCAGCAACCCTTCAGGTTGATGGGTGGTGACAAGAAATTTGGAAGTAGGAAGAAAGTAATAGATTGGATTGGTAGAAGAAAGTGTATGACATTGAAGAGAGGGAAAGCTGACCATTGGATTCTGGGAATCCGAGTCGTGCCAAACCGTCCGACTCGGGGATTAGGATTTTCAAGGTAATAAAAGATATTAGGAAATTTGGGAATTTTGGATGAAGAATTACGGTATACAATAAAGATGAAGAAAGTTATAAAGTTTTGAAATACAGAAATAAGCTTTGGGTAAAGATCCCCACAGTACCCCCCTACCAGTGATAAAGTTACCGGAAAGGCCGGAAGAAGCTCTTCGGAGTTGGTATTGCACGCAGCAGAGGTGATGCGCGTCGCATTGAGATGAAATCTTGAGAACCACGCCTGGAAACAGTCGGTGAGTCGTGCCTGCTTCCCAGCTCTCGTCGTTCGAGAGTTGTTGGCGAGAGGTTGCAGCAGTGGTGTGCGCGTCGCACTGGGATGAGAACCCAGCCTGGAAACAGTCGGTAAGTCGTACCTGTCTCCCAGATCTCGTCGTTCGAGACTTGTTGGCGAGGGGTTGCAACAGTGATGTGCGCGTCGCACTGAGATGAAATCTTGGGAACCCAGTCCGGAAACAGTCGGTGAGTCGTACCTGTCTCCCAGCTCTCGTCGTTCGAGAGTTGTTGGTAGAGCATGCAGCAGAGCTGATGTGCGCGTTGCACTGAGATGAAATCCTGCGAACCCAGCGTGGAAACAGTCGGTGAGTCGTACCTGCCTCCTAAGTCTTGTCGTTTGAGAGAGAGTTGCTTAGAGACTTGCGGATTCTCCGGGATTGGTTGTAGTTGCTGCTGCTGGATCTCTGGTTGAACTGGGATCTCTGTCGGGTTGGTCGAAGTTGTGAGCACCATGCTTTTTAGAGTACAGTTCTGGAAAACGTCTCTAGGGTAGGTACATTCGTGGCAAACGTGCCACGGCTATGGTGTTTGTTTTCTTCTTAACCCTGGCGGTTTTCTTCTGTTGTGCCTGTGTAGACATACCACTTGTGGCATGTTGTTACACTTTAACGGCAGGAAGGATGTTGTACGGTCGAAGGACCTGGTGATGTGATGCGATGCAATACCTGGCTGTGATGATGGTACTCCAGAGTGTGGTTGAGAAGGCGGTGGGTTATTAGAGTTAGACCTACCCTTGTGGGTGAGAATGAAGTGGTATAGAATGCGGAGGAAAAGTATGTGACGGGAGTTTAAGATGCGGCGGCATGTGCGGTGGTGGACCACCATGTGGACACATGCCTGGCAGTGGAAAACAACTGCATACTAGGCATACCAGGATGAGGCGGCACCTGGTGCGGCGATGTTGGACGTCCTGGGTGATAACTCGGAACGTGCGGTTGATGCATCGTAGGTGCAGAAGTATGGAATGATGCCTTCTGCGGTGGAAGTTGTAGCTGAAGAGGCATCGAAGATTGAGTCCTTGGTAGCGGTTGATGTTGCGTTCGTCGTAGACATTGTTGTGTTGCACTCAGATATTGACTCACCAGATACCCACAAAATAAAAACTAACGTGTGTTTAATGTTCGCAAATATCACGTCGGGGTCACCAATTTGTGGGATCGGTGAGTGTGAGTTCAAATGTTCTAATTGATGTGTGTTAAAAGACACGATGTTTATTATCACGAACAATGTTTATTAAGAAGTCTTGAAGAAGTATAGTTAAGAAGTATTGTAGAGAAGAATAGTTAAGAACTGTAGTGTTTGAAGTAATGTCAAGAACTGTCCTTCCTAAACCCTTGTCACCCACCAGCAACCCTTCAGGTTGATGGGTGGTGACAAGAAATTTGGAAGTAGGAAGAAAGTAATAGATTGGATTGGTAGAAGAAAGTGTATGACATTGAAGAGAGGGAAAGCTGACCATTGGATTCTGGGAATCCGAGTCGTGCCAAACCGTCCGACTCGGGGATTAGGTTTTTCAAGGTAATAAAAGATATTAGGAAATTTGGGAATTTTGGATGAAGAATTACGGTATACAATAAAGATGAAGAAAGTTATAAAGTTTTGAAATACAGAAATAAGCTTTGGGTAAAGATCCCCACACATGTATTACTTTTCCAAGAAGTACGAAAAACACGGTTTTGATATTATCGACAGGCTTGGCGTACACAAGAATAAAGTAATATTTTAAAATAGAAATAAGTGCAGGACACGAACGAGAAGGACGTGGAAAGCTCAAAGGATAAGTGATCTTTGAAATAGGCGTATTATATTCGCGTCAAAGCGAGTGGATAATAGGGCGAAAGAGCTCGATGTTGCAGCCATCAATGTGCGAAAGTTGCGAGAAGGACGAAATTTTCTTGCAAAGGATACAATAGAAGGAGATATTGTGACATGTTCAGGGCAATATTGAAATATTTTATATCTATATTGTATTTCATTTTGCGTCAACTTCAATTGTTTTCGTTCAATTTTATTGAAGGAACAATTTTTAACAAGAATTTAAAAAAAAAGATTTTGCTGTAATTGTAACGAAGTTAATATTTTTCTTAATCGATTTTTCTTTTATTACACGTGCGCTCCCTGCGAATCATTCGAATGGCTTCAATAGCTCCCCCAGCACCTGCCGGACGGGGATATAAGGTAGTTATTAAAGTTTATTGCACCTGATAAACTCGATCAATGCCGACGAGCGCGTGCTGACACCCAGATATAACTCCTGGACGAATTTCGCATTTCCACTACCAAAAGTCAATACTACAGGCCAAGCTAACGTAGTGTAGCAGATGCAAACCTAACCAAAACTTAACCTCAACATTCATATAGGTATATGCATTTGATGTAGATAGGTAGAAATTAGATAGTGTGCGTGGGAGTCAGGTTGAAGGTGCTACACTGCATGTGCTTATCATACGACAGACACACCGATATAAAAATCGCACACAAATGTCAGCAGTGACTATTGTCCCATTGTTTCGCGCTGACAATCGCGTGCTGCCCATTGCGCGTTGTAATAATAAACACAATTGCATTGTAGAGCACAGCAAAGCACAAATCCGACAGAATTGTACACCTTGGATGAATATATCAACATCGACCAGGGAGACGCGAACGACGATGTAAATTGTAAATCAACATTGATGTTTTAGGATATTTGTTATTTATTTATATTTACAAATTATTCAATACCTCAGGTACCTATAATATTACATTATAAATGTATAGAATTTGAGTAATGTACTAGACTTGTAGTGATTTATTGGTTTGCATAAAATAATATATTACCTACAATGTATTTGCGTAGATAGACATTCTAGGAATGTTTTTCTATTCAAAGCTAATTATATTGCTCGGTTTTGATAATATTTATGCTCGTTTAGTTGCAACATTTTGCAATTTGTGAGTTCGCTCGTTCCAAAAGGGTACTTCTGCGCGTTCGACGTTCAGCGTTCATATCGTATGTATTATAACGTTTGTATTCATTCGAATTTCCTGCCGACTCCTTGTGAACAGTCTGGCTGGCTGGCTTGGTTTCCTGCGCATTTTAGATAGGATTGTTTGCCGACGAACCCAAACGCGCACGAATTTCGTGACTGAGCAATGAATACACGTGCGCGCCTGTTCGCAGCGAGATAGTTGAGGTGGTACCTTTATTTCCATTGCATGTTGCAGCGAGGTCTTGCAATTGGATCTAATTTCGACCTGCGCTGCCATATTTACTGCAGTTAATGGCAAATTGTAAACAGTAATAATAAACATTTGCTTTTATAACAGTTATTTATATAGAACAGAAGGAATGCTAATATTTCTATTCGCGTATGAAGAAAGGATGATAAAATTTCATTCATATTGAAAAATAAATATTTTTTTCAAATAACCAGATAGCTCATTTGAACGTCACAGACTTGAGTGACTACTTTAATAGCTCCAGATTGCCTTCTTATAGTTGCAAAAACGAGTGGGGGTAAGTTTGTTAATATGGTATGAAGGATGTCTATGGCTTTTCTGCGAAAAGTAGCCAAGTGAATTAATTGTTTTTATTCCAATTTTGAATTCAGAATACTTTTGTTTTCCTTGATATAAATAAATAAATAGACTAGGTTAAATATTGACGGTGTCATAAATATTCAAAGCATAATGTTTAGTAAAGTAATTCTTATAACCTGGTTACAATGCTTATGTATATTTGTTTACTCTGATGATTTAGTCCTACCTCTTAATTCCGAGTAAATTTACCTACACTTTCCTACAACGTATTGCAAGGAGAAAAGAGAAGAGTATTAAGCTAGAGCACAGACGCTATGTTTAAATAATATCAAGTGGTTAAATTATTCTCGATGCTATATACGAGTATGTGAATAAGAGTATAGTTTCAGTTACATGTGAGCTAAACTTTCCTGGATGCAAAGATGTTGTATTAGTTTAGCGTACACGTTTGTTTTCGACATTCGCTGGCAAACTAAACCAGCGCTCGAAGGAACTTGAATCAAGCTTTAAGTGGAAAGCTACACGCAACTTCAAGAATATATTAAATTATCCTGCAAGGAACATGTTAGGATAGCAAACATAATCTCACCTATGAAAATATGAAACAGTGCAGGTTTATGTTAAAATATTATTAAAACTTTGAAAGTATGATCGACGTATTAAATCAAATGTATTCAAATACATCGGTTTGGTTTAATTTTGTATCGGTTGCCATTAAAGATTTGCATTACGCTGTAAAGGTAAACACCGCCAAGGATTTGCATACGAACATGTGAGTCCCCTTTTGTGTGCTTTGAAGCGGTTTGCTACGGGTGTTCTGCATTCGCAAGTAGGTTTTGAACGTTAATCCAACGCCGAACCGAAGCAAAATTAAATTATATTTTGCGGGCGAGATGAATGAAAATTCGCGCTTTAAGCTTCAGCCGCCGCCGTGCCAGCCAATACCAGTAATCTTTGTGCAAGCAGTCAACAACAACTTACTCGTATATATTCTACTCTCCGATTCCATTTCAGTCGGGAAATGCGAATACTTGTTAACATTTTGAATTCATAAATGCACATTCATTGTGCAATGAGAATGTTGCTTCAATCAAGGAATTAATTTTAACTTTATAGTAAACAGAATAGTTTAAAAAATATATTCTTGACTTAAAATTAGTTTCTGATTAACTTCTAATCAACACGACTTGGGGATTAATATTTATGTAGGTAAATCATATGATCCCAAATTTTTAAAATGAGAATATGTAACTTTGAAGCTTTCTATTAATCATTTTGCGAAGATTGCTTTGGGCGCAGGAGATAAGAAGATTAGCCAGAATGAAAAATTAGAAATTGCGATGAAGTATTAGCACATAATGGAATTTTAAAGGATTTTAGATTGCGCATTTTCCGCCCTGCGTCATGTTGAAGGCTCCTGGGAAAATGGAAGATTTTAGCATAAGATGGCACCGCACCAAAAACGAAGGACAAGCTGCATAGCTGCATGTTGTTTTATTACCGGATTATACGAAGGATAATGAGGCTTTGTCACTGTGCAAAGCGGAAAAACACGGGATTATACGCAGTTTTTAAAGATTTCACCGTCATCAATATTTGATTTTATAACAATAAAAAAATTTCATGCAAAAATTCAAATTTAATTTCACTATTTATATTTTCCTTGAGTACCAAATAAATATACATTAAAATGCGCTTCAAGAAGGAAAAGAAATTGAGAATATAATGAATACAGCAAAAGAAAGAAAACTTTTGTTTCCAGTAAAATATACCCTATTTTTTCTTGGGCGCATTATGCAAGCTGAGAAGGCTTTAGAAGGCTGCGGAACGAATGTCGAAATGCGACTGCCAACGCTGTTAAACAAAAGCTAAATGGACGTCACGTTAAGTAGTCAAAAGGAATGCTTTAGTCAGCAAAAGCAATCAGAAAATGTTGACGTACTTAACATTATTTAACTTTTTGTACTGAAAGCATTCTAGAAATTAAAAAAACACTAATTACTTTTCAAAACGTGAGAGGTATACACGAAAGCAATTTTTAAAATTATACTCTGCTTGTTTCTGACATTGTTGATAACTGGTTTATCTTTGCAGCTCGACTTGGTTTTACTTTTTAATTGCTTACTCTTCACGTCTTTATTACTTCATCGCCGCAGATATTAATTTTCTGTCTGTTTGTTGTGCGTGTTCGCTATTTAGTTTCCTCAATTCCGCTAGTATTCTGAATCTTACTTTCTCACTCGTCTTGGAAACTGGGCATTATCAGCGGCTGAATAAACTTTTGTAATTTACCCGAGCGAACGGCTCATTATTTCAAATTATATTTCATATTTCCTCTCATTGCGCACGCTGCCAACGCTTCTTCGCAGTCGTTTAGATATACATCTTTGGTGGTAGCGCAGTGGGAGATGAGGGTTCGAAATAAATTTGGTCGGGTTGGATTTTAATGAAAGCGCAATAAATTAAGCGGAGGTTATAAAAACGCGCAAATGCACCAGTTCGAACCATCCTAACGCTATTACGTTCTAAGCTCACGCTTTAGGGTAGTTGCCAGGAATCAAGGATAGTATGTGCTCTACTGACCAGCTGTGTTGGAGTTAGAGAATTTAATGTTTGAGAGTATAAATTAAGCAGGAAAATTGTTTTACACGAAATGCTCTATAACTTTATTGAATTTAGTGTAAAATTTGCAGCGCTCCTGTAAATTTTATGCAGTCAGTTCTCAGATTACAGCACTCGCCTCGTTTCTCCTCATTGATTTCATGCGAAAGAGTTTGTATTTGTCTCGTTCCGGGCTGGCGATATCTGCTTTTCGTCTGATTAGAGTGCCATTTATCCACAGCCCCTTGACGGCCACGGCCGTCTCGCTCCGAACCGGGGCCCATCAATTGCTTGGCGGCGCTGTGGTGCTTGTGGCGGCGGCGACGGCAGTATACAGTTGCACTATTTTGGTCGCACACACGAATACACCCGACGGACTCCTGAAATTGATTGATGCAACCGAAACGGCGTTTGGGGAGCTACTTTATGTCTCCATAGAGCCACCTCTCTATAATATGAAACCCGTTTTCAAAAACCTTCTAAATTGGGTGAGGAATAAATTTACCGCATGGGTAGAGATGAATTTTCTACAAATATGGTTTTGATATATGGAGATTGAAATATTTTTACAGATTACTAAATAAATTCGATTTATTCATTCACTAAACTAACATAGAACAGAATTCGAAAAAGACACATTTAACCTCGAAACAAGCGATGTGTCCTGTGTAAACAAAGACTATGAAGAACAAATGGCCGCTTGGATAAAACATGCGCGATGTGTTGCTCCCGCGTGTCGTTTTTGGGCTCTCCTATGGGTCATTCTGACCTCAAAAGTTCCGTGCCTTTAAATAACAGCTCTCTAGCTGACCCAGTACACTAGTGTCGAATACAACACCTCGAACACAACGCGTACAATTCTCACTTTGTCCATCAACGTGAATATCCGTAAAATGCTTAGAATTTCTGACATTGTAAATGAGTGCTGTCAACACACCGACAGCATATGGAAATTAGTTCTGAATAATGTATACCTGAGATTTGTTCAAACGCTGTCACCTGACTAACATTCTCGTTGGAGTGGCAGCCCTTTTAATCTTGCACGAAGTGTTTGTACTGTGCATAGGTTTTATGTAGATTTATGTTTTGCAATGTGTTTTTTGTCATTATGTCATTTTTATCGTTTCATTTTTGACGCTTTTCTGGACGGAAAAGAATGAGGGCATTTGGAAAGCTAAACGCAGGCGCGCTGCTTTGTCAGAGCATGTTTTCATTTTTGATTAAAACTCTTGTCGCGCTTTGTTCTCGCGTCGAGGATGAGGATGTGGGCGAGGACGCGTCTGAAACTAAACGGTCGAAACTTCCGTCGTGCCGAAAACGCTAGGCGGGTAGTAAGCACAGATAACGCGTGGGTCCTTGCTCGCCGCCTCCAGAGTTACAGACCCAAGTAGTCGGGGGCGATAAAACGTGCTACGTTCACTTTATCCATCACGTACGTGGGACGTAAATTCGAAAAGCTTAAAAACAGGAATA